AAATAATAATCCCTATATTACCCTTGTCATGAAAATATTATTACTTTATCTTTTGCTTGGGGGGGGGGGGTTCTTAAGCAATTGGTAGTTATCGACATGGCTTGGACGTGATGTGTGTTGTAGATGACCTGGATTTGCACCATCGTGAAGGGCCTAAACCTTAAATCCTAAACCGTAAACCCTAAACCGTCTTCAACCACGGACTAGCCCTAAACCTTACCTCCTGCTAGAATGCTCCCCCGTAAACGGAACCTGTAAGAATATGTCCGAAGGAAATCGCCTTAAGCCCTAAACCCACAACCCAGAACCCACAATCCCAAAACCCAACAAGGGCAAAAGAGTTTGCATGGCTTCGGGTTTGGATGCCCCAAGACCGTGCCTAAAACCTAAAACTAGACCCTAAACCAAACCATGGACTAACCCTAAACCCTAAACCCCAAATCCTAAACCCTAAACACTACCCCCGAACCCCTATACACCCTAAACCTCGGATCTGTAGGGCTTGTGGTTGAGGCGCCTCGCAGTAGAGCTGCTCAAACTGGTCATTGCCGAGCGGCGTGTCTGCCCTGCATTTTGCGGGCTTCAGCAGTACCCTACACCCTAAACCCTAAACCCTAAACCCTAAACCCTAAACCCTAAACCCTAAACCCTAAACCCTAAACCCTAAACCCTAAACCCTAAACCCTAACCCTAAACCCTAAACCCTAAACGCCGCCTGTTAGGGTTTAGGGTTTAGGATATTCCAGGGTGATAGGGAGGCAGTCGAAGTCCCAGGCAAGTTTCGGGATTCGGGCTTCTAAGGGTGTTTCATGCTTAGTTGCTGAGTTCATAAGCCCCCCAAAAAGTGTACACTTTCAGTTCTATAGGGGGTTATAGTATCCCAAAAAGTGTAAAGTGCACTCACTCAGCTACTGAGTATGACTAAGGGTGCTTGTTTTTTGTTGACTTGAGAGCCTAGCTGCTGAACGCCCTGGGCCAAATTAGGTTAAGCTTTCAATTATGCGTAGGATTACAGGGTTCAGGGTTAGACCCTCTCCCTCTCACCCTCGAACCTCTATGCGTCTAGGCCTCTGGGTACCTCAAACGCCAAACCCGAAGCCCTACAACAACTTTGAGCTCCGAGACAATCGAAACTCGACGTTCCACCAATGCCGGGCCTCCCGAGATTTCAACCGTTCCGTCAACCTGAAATGGGTTTTCGGGTTTAGGGTTTAAGGTGTATTTGCAACGGGCTTCCCTAAACCCTAAACCCTGAACACTAAACCCTAAACCGAAAACCCTAAACCCCAGAAAAGCTGGGCGGGCGACTCCGCGTCCTCCTTGATGGCATAACCTCATGTTGAGCTGGTTGCATTTGCCTTGCCTAGTTAGCCCGAAATCCTTTACACTACCCAGCACTGCTTAAGACCGAAGCTTCTTCGGCTTCAGACACAAGCCCCCTAAACCCTCAACCCTAAACTTTAGGGTTCTTAAGGGAGGGGGTTCAAGTCCAAACTCTGAACCTTACTACTGTGAGAGCTCTCGTTTGAAGCGAATTCTGGGAGCAAAGCTTCTTCTAACAGATATAAGGCGGGAAGCCCTAGAAGGGACACGATACATCTTAAATCCCATTAGAAAACCCTCTACACATCCCGAACATAATTGGTCCCTTGTTAGCCCCTTTCTACCTAAGCAGCCTCTACATTACGCCTGAGGTCCCTTACAATGGTCCCTCGCTTAGTCCCTGGGATTCTTTGACTAACTTTTACGTGGTGGATTTCCCTGCTACCGCCCCCCCCCCCTCCCCCCCCTATCCCCCCCATCCCCTCATCCCCCCACCCAGGCTACCCCCTTTCCCTATGTAGCCTTAATTCTGGCTGAACCTAGCGGGGGTAGTATGGCGGGGGGTAGTAGGGGAACCCATGACTACATGATGGATTGGGCTGCTTCAGCACTAGGCGCGCCCTGGCCTTGGGGGCATTAAAGCCTGTAATCCCTAAATCGCAAAAACAAAGCCCTAAAGCCTGTAAACCCCTTAACCCCAACCTTGTAAAACCTTCCGCAAAGCCCTGGGTTCTTTTGTGTTCGGCGCTGCGCCACAGCGTCGCGCGACGCAGCTCTCACTTTCCCACCTGCAGTTTACTATGGAGGTTCAGGGGTAGTTACAAGTAGGGTTTTTTGAGTATGGTAACTCTACTTATACACCTTTTCAGGGCACTTCTAACCCTGCTGAAAACTACACATGAAGGTTCGGGGGTACTGACCAGCAGGGTTTTTGAAGTATGGTAAAACGACTTATTAACCCTTTCAGGGTGCTTATAGCCCTACTTACAACTACCCAAATGAACCTCCAAGTAGGGTTTAGGGCTTAGGGCCTTGACCTCTTTTGTCCCAATCTTGTAGCACCAAAACCGAAACTCTAAATTCTAAAGCTTAGAGTTTAGGGCGTGTTTAGGGTTGTGGGTTTAGGGCTTTGGGGTCCAAACTATGGGGGAAGTGCCGCAGCACAGATGCTCGAGCTTAATGGCTTTCCCAACTGTGAAAATCCTCAAGTGCTCCCCCAAACCGAAAACTGGGAACACACCGGGGATCATGGGTAGTTCTAAGTAGGCTCAGAAGTACCCTATAACCGCATTTCGGGTGCTTACAGCCCTACTTCCAACTTCACAAGTAGGTTTCGGGTTCAACCCTTCGCAACTCTCCTATTGCGATGTTTAGGGTTTGGGGGTTTAGGGTTTAGGGTTTAGGGTTTAGGGTTGATGCAACTATGTGTGCGATTGCCCGGTGCCGATCTAGCCCATCATCAGACCCTGACGTGCTAAACATTCTCTCATGTTGCATTTTTACAGTTTACCAAGACTAAAAATAGCAAGAATAACCCTAACTAACTCAAAAGTACTACAAGTAACAACAAACAGCAGAGATGATGAGCAAGACATGCAGCAAGATGACCAAGCATGTGCACACTTTGGGTAGTTGGTAGTAGGGTTGTACGTATGGCAAATCTACTTACGACCCCATGTAGGGCCTAGGGTACTTATGACCCTACCGATTAGAACTAACCCAAATAACCTCCCCAAACCCTAAACCCTAAACCCTAACCCTAAACCCTAAACCCTAACCCCTAAACCCTAAACCCTGTATAAACCCCACCGGCCTTCTCCCGATAGGACAGCAGGCGCTTGAAACTTTGCAGTGCTTTGTGCGTGGCTGCGTTGTCCAAGAGGGAGCCCTGCCATCCCATTCTTCCAAACACAGGGGGGTTAGGGTTTAGGGTTTACCAAAGCCCTAAGGGTGAAGTGCTCAACAGGGTTTAGGGTTTAGGGTTTAGGGCTTGGGGCTTCGGGTCTACCAAAGCCCTAAGCCCTACACCTTAGGAATATTCGCACCTGCAAATGAGTAAGCGCTCCCCTCGCACAACTGAACGTACAAGGGCAAGCAGGGATCCGAGGCTCCCCAAGCAAGGTGCAACCCAAAAGGTCGATGTGAAGGCCTGCTGGCCATATCGTGCGCCTTACAAAGGCGTCCTATGAACCGAAGCACAAAGCGCTGGTTTCCGAACCTCAAACTCAACCGCCAAACTCATCAGATGTGTCCTCAGACGAAAAAATGTAGGTTTAGGGTTTAGGGTTTAGGATTTAGGGTTTAGGGTTTACCTAAGCCCTAAGCCCTAGACCCCCACTCCAGGAACTTCACACTTACAAATGTTCAGCGCTCCCTTCTGTTCCCCTGATAAGAACTCCTAACCCTTCCATCCCTAAACCATAAACCCTACACCCAAACACTAAATTTTAAGGGCTTCGCCCGTGTGCGCCAACGCCTCTTGGGCTTGGCTTCCAAAGCGAAACTTGACAAAACCAGCAGCCGAAGCGTAAGAAGACTGGTTTCGGACTACGATGGTAAAGCAGGTTTACTAAGTAAATTGAAGACACTCGCGCAATCGAGGTTTAACGATAAGGAAGACATGGACACAGAGGACAGAGGCCGGTGCTCTCTTATGGAGTTAAGCAACGGCCCCCCTATACAGGACTCCAACAAGCTGCCAAAAGCCCCCAAAAGGCTCGCCAAAATGCTTCAAAACGCTTCCGAAAAGTCTAAATGGCCACCAGAATGCTCCAAAAGGCCCTCTTCCGTTCTCCTTCAATTAAGGGTGAACATAAGGCACATGGCCATCCTCGGCTATCCATGAAATAAAGGCGAACATAAGGCTTCCAAATCTTTTGCACAAAGGCGACGACAGGGACCTGACGAAAGGGACCCGACCGAAGAAACGGTTCGGGGCGCACCCCCCCTAAGGAGATGAACTTTCTGGGCGCAAGAAGGTTCCAAAAGGCCTTCGAAAGGCTCCGAAAAATTCAACAGTGCTCAAAAAGGCTTTAAACATGATGTTGAAAGAGGCCTGACTTGACCGAGACACGCAAAATACATGGAGAAAGAAAAGAGCTCGAAAAAAGGGTCTAAATGCTTCAGAAGTGTTCAAATGGCTTCCCAAAAAAAACAGAGCGGAAAAGCGCCGAGACACGCAAAACACATAACCGCATTTTAAGCCTTCCAGATTTGGGGTCGACCCTATAAGGTTCACAAAAGTGCAAAAGAGATGAACGCTTGACCTCCTGCTGTAGTTTGCTGTCCCCGGCAGCGAGTTGGTCAGTGACCTCTTGTCACCGTCTTTGATTGAAGCAAATAATTCTTGAAGGACACGCACAGCTGTTGCTGGGGCAATGCAACCAGATTTGGGCTAGGAGCGTACAAGGAGTCAGAACATCGCCCACTGACATTTGTCAAGCTCTACGCGCACGCGAACCAATTAGGTATAGGCCCTCTGCAGTTCTCCTCATTAGAGGTACATGGGCCTCCTCGGTAATGGTTCAAGTAAGGGCGAGCATAAGGTACAAGGGCCTCCTCAGTCTGTAGTACTTCAATTATAAGGTGAACCCTCCTCTGTAATCAGTCAAGTAAGGGCGAATATAAGTTGTCGGGCCTCGGGCGTCAGGAGAGCTCGCCGCAGGCGCACGCCTGCCTCACACCCCAACACCACCTCCTTGCAGGGCATCCAGATCCTCGCCCAGGTTCGGCCAAACAAATTCTCGGGAGAGCCAATCCTTGAAGAATTCGAAGGAACAGTGGCGGCGCAGCTCTGGGAGGATCAAGCGCAAGCCCTTCGCCCCCTTAGCAACAGCTTTTGTGCTGAAGGTCGCCCGTCGGTGGATCCCGCTGCTGCTGAGGCACTCCTGCATAAAGATCTGGATGGTCGCCGCAGATATTTCTTTGGGGCATCCATCGCCTTGTGGGCGCCCAGGGCTGCGCGATATTGCGCGGTAGGCCTGGAGCATCATGGCCTTGTTGGAGGGATTGCTGAGCGCTTCGTGGAAAAGCCGCGGCATGGGCACCTTGAGGCAATACTCCACATATGCCTTGTGCCCGTTGCGTGTCGTTCTTTGCTCGTGTAAAAGGACGAGCCAATTCATCCATGGCTCGTTGCACAGTGGGGCGGTGAAGCAACTCCTGGATGCCTGCCTCCACCTCCTTGTTCAGGCCATTGATGTCAATGGAGGACACCGCGGCCTCGGTGTCCTTCAGGAGATGGATGAGGGCATCACACCAGGAGAGCATCACCAGGTCGCCGTCAAAGTCGCCTCCGGCCATGCGCGTGACACAGTGGTCCTGTTGGAACACAATGGTTTGGCACCTTGACAACCCCTGAAAATGGCCAATTTCAATGATTCTTGGATTTTGACTTGCACTGACCTTCGATTAAAGCAAAAACACAAGGATATTCGTTAGTCTGGCGGCCTTCAAAACCCCCAAATGGCAAATGTTAGAATTTTCATTCATTTGAATCGAAAACGTAAGGATTTTCGCTCGTTTGGCGGCCTTGAAAACCCTCCAAATGGCAAATTTCAAGGATTGTTTGACCATGTTGCACCTTCACAGAGACTCAATTCACGCCAAAACGGGATTTCGCTCGCTTGGCAAATTTTTGTGATTTTTGACCACCTTAACCTTCACAGACCCTCACTTCGGGCCAAAACATAAGGATTTTCGCTAGTCTGGTGGCCTTGAAAATTCCCCAAATGGCCAATTTTGTGATTGTTTACCATTCTGGGCCTTCACAGACCTTCAAACAAAGCAAAAACACGTAAAACACAGGGATTCTCGTTGGTTTGGCGACCTTAAAAATCTCCATATATATTTTTGGTGTCTTTTTGTTTCAACCCATTTGGGCCTTCACATCTTAAATTCCATAATGTGTCGGGGTCCCGACCCAAGCCCTAAACCAAGAAGCTACTTTCAAATTTAGGCAGGTTGGGTCCCGACCCCAACCACAAACCCCCAAACCAAAAAGCTACTTTCAAATTTAGGCAGGTTGGCAAAATCCAAACACATACGAAAAAACGCATCTTCAAACTCGGTGAGCGGCCTGGCCGAAACACGCAAACACAAACACATAGGGCGACCCCTATAAGGTTTAAAAAGGTGCAAAAGAGATGAATTTGGTTAGGCGCCAGCTGCGCTGGCGAACCCTAAACCCTAAACCCTAAACCCTAAACCCCAAACCATGACCCCCAAAACCCCACTGCCGAAGGTTGATTTGGGTACGTAAACCCTAAACCGTGCTGAACGCCTCCCCCCCCCCCCCCCCCCCCTAAACCCTAAACCCTTTTGTCTAAACCCTAAACCCCCGGCTGTGCACCTTGTCCTCAATCTTGCGCCACTTTTGGCCCCACATGCGCTCGTTGCCCTTGGGCTCGTCGCTCGATATATACAAGAGACCTGACGCCAACTTAACAAGTTGTTAGTGCCACCCGCCTAGCTGACACTCAGACCACACTGCAAGGACTCATCCTGGAACAGACTGTCGCTAGAAAGGCAAAATCTGAACAGGGTTTAGGGTTTAGGGTTCAGTAGATGCAGGTTAATTTGGGTAGATAGAAGTAGCGTTACAAGTATGACAACCCTACCCCTGCGTATCACTACCCATGAACTTCCAAGTAGCAGGGTGTCACTTAGGAGATTCGACGATCGACGGGCTCGGGCTTTCTTGGCATTCAGGCTTCTACTGTAACGGGGTTAGGGCTTAGGGTCTTCAGTTACGGGGCTCTCTTTGCCCGCGGCATTTTTGTGAGTTTAGAAAGCTGCAGGATGTAGTTCTTCCTCTTACAGCACGCAGCCAAAACACACCAAAACCCTGCCAGTGTCTCTAATACTCCAATACGCCTTGGTTAGGCATGTCCTTGAAGTGTAATGGCGATCGTTATCAGCGGGATCCTCATTAATACTGTTTGATGTTTTCTTTAAGTAAACAATAGGGACCCTGAATGCTCCCAGCATGATGTACATTTAAATATTTTACCCAAAGAGCCCAATACCCCTGGATCTAAGAACATACCCAAGTCATATTGAGGACCCCTAAGTAACTTAAGGTGTATTCGCTAATTGAGGGGTCTATTGGGCCCTATGTAAACCCTAAACCCTGAATCCTAACTCAGAGGTTTTGGAGTCTCCTGTTTCCCGTTACTTGGTGCCGATGGTGCTTGGATTTTTCAGGCCCTAGCTTGGCGGGCTTTCGTTGGGTTGGTTTGGGGTTTGGGGTTCCAGAGTTTTTGGGGTTGTTTTGGTGTCATATTTAGGTTGGGGGTTCAGGGTTTCTCCTTCACTCCTGGCAGGGTGTGAAATTCGCTGGCACTAAGTCCTAGGAGCCTTAAAACCCTAACTGGGTTCGCGTTCAGACCCTTTCTGAAAAAAAAAACAGTGATCCCCTATAAACCCCCAAAAGGACAAGAACAAAAGTATGCCAAAAGCCTACCCCAAACCCTAAACCCTAAACCCTAAACCCTAAACCCTAAACCCTAAACCCTAAACCCTAAACCCTAAACAATCATGTCGTTGCCCAGCATCCTTTGGCTTGGGGAACTACAAAAAGGGATGCTAGCAGCAGTTCCAGCCTTAAACAAGAAGCTCACATCTACAATCAACCTTCAACCCCAACTCCCCTAAACCTTTTCAAAGCAAATGTGAGCCCGAAACCTAAAAGCCTAAAGCTTCAAGGCCCTACCACATCTTAGCCCCTAACGTCTTGAACCTTGAGCCCTGAACCCTGGGCTATAGGGTTCAGGAGCTTATTGTTCAGGGCCACCGGGTCCCTAAACCTTCCTTTTGCAAGGTCTCTCTCTCTCTCTCTCTCGAAAGGGGTCTTATGATATGCCGAATAGGAGGCTACCTGCTCAACACCAAAGCATGCACGACAACACATGATTGTGTGCCTGGCCTCCTGTGACCCATGTCTTGGAGCCATGGATCAGGTCCAAGTAGCCTTGCAGCCACTGTTTCTGTTGCGGTTCGGGACTTTTTGGGTTTCTGCTGCATGATGTTTTGGGTTTAGGCTTAAGGGTTGAGGGTTTCGGGTTGGGGTTCCTGCTGCGGGTGTTTGCTCAGGGTTTGGGGTACTCATACCAGCTGCTGCTACTGGTGTTCGTGTCATGATGGCCCTTAACTAAGGAATCTACCTCAAACTAGATAGGGGTATATTGACGGGACCGGGGTGGGACCCTTCCTGGGAACCCACCTCATTATATGCTTTAAGCAGTGCCTGTGCTGGGAGCTGGGACCAGGCTGCTGCTTCCCGAGGCCTGCTGTAGAAGGGTTGAGGGTTTAGGTTTAGGGTTTAGGGTTTAGTAGGGTTTAGGTCTAGGGGTGCGCTTGGGACCCCGTTTGTTGCGCCGAAAAAGGCTCTCGGGCATCCAGGCAGTTGTTAGAACAAAGACTCTCCCACACACCTGTGAAAACCTCAAAATTGGTGCGGGCTGAAGGAGGGCGTCCGTCCATCAACCCTAAACTCCCTGAACTTTCCTGCCATCTGGATCGACCAAAAAACCCCCCGACCCCTGACGGCCCGTAATTTGGGAACCCTAAACCCTAAACCCTAAACCCTAAACCCTAAACCCTAAGCCCTAAGCCCTAAACCCTAAACCTTAAACCCTAAACCCTAAACCCTTGCCAAGGACCTCTAAAAGCTTCGGGGGACCGACACATGTCTGCACATCTCCTCCACGTACCCCGAAACCGAGCCACCCAATACCAAGTCAAACAAGGACATCCCCAAACCCTCATTGGGGTTGTTCTCTTATTAGGGTCTCATCTGGGTCCTCATAACTAAATATAAATAAAAATAAATAAACAAATATATAATATAATATAGTATAATACAATACAATACAATATAATATAATATAATATACTATAATATAATATAATAAATAAATAAATAAATATATATATATATATAAACACAAACCATATACACATATATATGTGTGTGCAGCATGGCTGCCTTGAAAAAGAGATCCCCGAAAGGGACCCAAACACAGATAACTAAGCAAGCATGTCTGGGCTACCAAGCATTCAAGCTGGTCATCTAAGTATGGGTCCTAAAAGGGGATCCCGTACATACCCCTCTTGTGCCCTGCACAACCCAAGCGGCCCATACTTCAGAACCCTTTAAGGAAAGTAAGAGACCATATCAAAGGCCCATGAAACTACCCTTAGATAAACCCTGAACCCTGCACCCTGAACCTTAAACCCTAAACCCTAAACCCTAAAAGTCAATCTAAGGAACTTTTCTGGGCCAGCAGGTGCTCTCCCCGAAGCGACTGCAAGCAGCAATTCCTCATGTGGTCCTCTTGTCGTGGCCAGGGACCCCAATCATACCCGTTTGTTTGGGACAAACATGAAAACATAGCAGGTTTCCTTTTTAAATCAAAAAGGGAGATTCCTTAACAAAATGATGGGGTTCCTTATCTGGCATCCTTATCTGGCACAAGGAATAATTATCCTTTAAATTTGAGCGGGTTCCTTATATGGTTTATGGAATAATCCTGAACATATATTGAGGTTTCTTATGTGGTTTAAAGAATATTCGTTAACTAAGGAGTATTGGAGACTTGTCATGTGCATTCTTTGCACACACCCAGCAAACACGCGAACACTGCGGGGACGAAATCAGAGGACACGACAGACAACTACGGAGGAGTTAAGTGCTGCAGTGAGCATGCGCATACGGCCCGGCTAGAATTTAGGTGTGCAATGACTGTTCCTGCCTCAACAACCTTCCAGCACAGGGTTTCTCATGGCTCTGAATGGCATACCACGTGCTCCCTTACCATACTAAGTACAGGTAAGGGGTGCATATCGTAAGTTCTAATACATTTGGAGCCCTTTTGGCCCTTATAACTCTGCGTGCAACTAGAGGGTTTCCTCCCCTTGTAGGAGTTCAGGATTGAGTTGAAGAGTTGAAGCACATAAACCCCAGTGCCATTTAACATCTGAGGACCAAAAGCCTCGTTATAAAGAACAAAGAAAACATCGCGAAGAGGTCAGAGAGCAGTGTTTAGGGTTCAAGGTTTAGGGTTTCGGGTTTAGGGTGTTTTTGGTCACCCGTCTAGCAGGGTTTAGGGTTTAGGGTTTAGGGACAAAAGCTTGCACCAGAGAGGGTTCTTGATGACAAGCCTCGGGCATATTCCTTAATTACAGGGTCTTGGGGTCTTGGGGTCTTGGGGTCTTGAGGTCTTGGGGTCTTGGGGTCTCTGGAAGGCATTGTCAGTCCTCTTCTTTCTCATCCAGCGCCTGGACAGGAAAGAAAAGCGCCCTGAATGCAGCCCCAAACCCAACCTATGAACAACTACTGTTTGCTTAAGAACCCCAAAACAAAAAAAAAACAGCCGTGCAAACACTTCCTTGAAGGGCAATATAGGGATTATTGTCTTTGCTTTTTTTTTGGGGGGGGTTCGTAAGCCAATAGTAGTGCCCTGGGGGCCCGCCCTGGGCCAGAGGAACTCTCTATACATGCTTCCCCAAGTCCCCACCTCCGGGCCTTGCCCTCAACCCTAAACCCTAAACCCTAAACCCGGGTTTAGGGATTAGGGTTTAGGTTTTTAGGGTTTCCGAAGCACCTAAGCGTTCCGGCACTTTAGCTTGGGCCAGCCAGCGTTTGCATCACGAGCCCTGGAGCCTCAGGAGAACCCACTCGAAACTCCAAACTTGGGATGTTCCCCCCCTATACTAACAGTCCTGAATAGTACCCCTATTTTCCTCCCTCTTTAAGACTGTTAACCCTCAAACCTAACCTAGCCTGACGTCCCCAAACCCTTTGCGGTTTAGGGTTTGGGGTTTGGGGCTGGGATGTTGCCCATTGTACTAACAGTCCTGAATAGTACCCCCTATTATACTCCCTATTACACTGCTAATATAAGGGGAACATCCCAACTCCAAACCCTGAAGCCTACCAAAAACCCAACACAAATTCCTCCAGAACCCCGAGAGCTTATGCAAAAGACGATTTCAAGGCCCTAAGATTTGGGTCAAGGGTGCAGTTAGGCTATTCTCGGAACTCTTTCACAAGTCCTACCACCTAAAGTCGACAAAGAGAACTCGCAAGCCCCTAAACCCCAGACCCCTAAGCCACTATGCCTTGTGCACCGTCCAGGTTGAGGACTCCTCTTTTGGCATCCCCAAACCCTAGGGTTTAGGGTTTAGGGTTTAGGGTTTAGGGTTTAGGGCTACACCACGATGCCTTTGCACAGACCAGGTCCAGGAGTGGCTGCAGAGATCCAAGGTCGGGAACCGTGTCGGCAGCCCCTCCTTCAGGGGTAATATGGGGGGGGGTGGGGGGGGGGGGGGGGGGTGCCTTAAGAATTAGAATAGGGTTTAGGGTTTAGGGTTTAGGGTTTAGGGGTTAGGGTTTAGGGTTTAGGGCTAGACCCTTATAGTATTGCTGGCAGCTTTGTTGACGTCATTTGTGGGTTTCCGAACTTAGGGGGTACATTGTCGGGGTCCTTCTTTTCAGGGAGTCCTACTATTTGGGGGTCGATCTCAAGGGCCCCTTATTTTCGCAGATTTTCGCACAACCCCCCCCAATACTTGAAATGCCAAGAATGCTACTGCTAAGACTAAGTTAGCTGGTTTTTGGGCACACCCCCGATTTTTGAAATGCCATGAATGCTATTTGCTAAGACTAAGTTAGCTGGTTTTTAGGCGGGTATAGGGCGCAATGCCGGCTTTCATACTTGAGGGGTTTAAGGCTTTAGGGGTTTCAGGGTTGCTTGCCTACACGTAGGCGCTTACGGTTTAGGCTTGATGCCAGGTTCCCTAAACCCTAAACCCGAAACCCTAAACCCTAAACCCCAAACCCACTCCTTCGCCGCCCTTCCCCGTCTTCCAGGCCCGGTGCACCACGAGGATAAACCGTCGCACCAGCTCGGCGGTAGTTTTCAAGTCCTGAACTGTAGCAGGGTTTAGGGTTTAGGGTTTGGAGGTCTGGGGGTTTCGGGTTCTTGTTGTGAGTGTCCCTGTGATGCCCTCATGTCCTAGCCAAGCTTCGCCACTGGCGTTGCACACTTGTGCCTCATTTGCCCGAAACCTTAAACCTTAAAAGACCTTAAGCCCTAAAACGCCTAAACGGCTTCGCCAGGCTGGACCCGAAACCCACTGAGCTGATACTTGAAATCCACAGCCACTTTGGGGGAACCCTGAACCCCTGAACCCTAACCCTCTTCAAACCCTGAACCCTACACCCTACACCTACTTGAAGGTTCATGGTACCTATTAACCAATTATAACTGTACTTATAACCCTACTTATAATACCCCTAAAGGGCCTTATGGAGGTTCTCCCACTTATAAGTAGGGTTATAAGTACAGTTGTAAGTGGTTGGTAAGTACCATGAACCTTCAAGTACACCCTACACCCTAAACCCTGAACCCGACAAGTAAACGTCTCCTCTGAGGCAGCCAGAAGCTCACCCACTGTCTCCTCAGACCGGAGGAAGAGCTTGAACTGAAGGTTTAGGGTTGAGGGTTGAGGGTTTAGGGTTCAAGGTTTAGTGTTTCTTGAGATTATCATGGTTTTCCCTACTACCCGCCCCCCAGTTAAGGTTCTTTAAGGGGGGGTGGTAGGGGGAAACCCATGAGTTTAGGGTTTTCAGAGGTCTAAATGAGGCCGACAGGGTTCTGCCAGGGCTTTCGAAACGTTTGAAGCTAAAGCCCCTGGAAGCCCAAAAGCCTGGATCATGTACCTTAGCTGTCCAGAGGCTCCAATAGCCCTTGACTAAGCAATATTCCTTAAACCATATACGGAACCCTAGCCCATTGTACGCAACATTCCTTTCTTAAGGGGTGTTGGAGTCTCTGGGTGTATACGTGCGCAGGGGTTCAGGGGCCTTCATGTTTCCGGAGATTCCGTGCAGCAGAGCACTGTAATTACACCACACCTCACGACTTAGGAGTAGTTCACCAGCGTATGGTCTGTTCCCTCAAACCCTAAACACATTCCCAGAGAGCCCACAAGCCCTTCAACTAAGGAAGATTCCTTCAAAACTACATAAGGATCCTTAGTATGAATTATCAGGGTATATTCCTAAACCCTAAACCCTAAACCCTAAACCCTAAACCATTGAGGATTCGAAGGGTTCCCCGCCCCGCCCTCAGGAATCCCATGCCCAGGGGCGCGGTGGCCGGAAGAGGCCGTCAGCGAAAGTACTTCCTCCGCTGCTGCATCCTGGGGTGTGAAGCCAGAGACTGGTTTAGGGTTTAGGGTTTAGGGTTTTGGGTTTAGGGTTTAGGGTTTAGGGTTTAGGGTTTAGGGTGAGAAGCCAAGCTGCCGCAGTTGGTCCACGGCTTCGGGGTTTCGGGTTTATAGGGCTTAGGGTGGATAGGGTTTGCTTGGAGGTTCATGGGTAGCTGTAAGGAGGGATGTAGTATCCGAAGCCGGGTATTATCAGTACCGTTGTCATAGTTATAACTCGACTTATGACTACCCATGAACCTCCAAGTAGAAGGGGCTTGGCAATGTCCAAGGCGTGCAAAGCTCGTCGCTCGTCGCGCCAAGTGCGGCGTAGGCGCCACTGCGCAGCGCGCAATGCTTTCTCGGTGAAGTCACGCCAATCACCTTCCTCATAAAAGAAAGTCCCGCAGCTTCGTCTCACAACCCACCAGCTGAGTTTAGGGTTTAGGGTTTAGGGTTAACCTTTGGGCTGGCTTCAAAGTCTCCCGGACATGCGAAAGGTTGCCTAGGAGGGCCCTGAAAACCCTCTGAAAGACTTTCCTGAAGCTGATTCTCTTAAACTCAATAAGGGAAAAGCTAACATGTCCCAAGGGCCTACCCTCAACCCTAAACCCTAAACCCCAATATAAAATGTCCCAAGGGCCTACCGACTTGCCGGCAGAACCACAGGGATCGTCACGGATTCGGGAGATGGCGTGTCCCACACCGTTCCCATCTACGAAGGTTGTGCGCTTCCACATGCCATTGCGCTCCTGGACCTAGCTGGCCGTGACCTCACAGAGTATCTGATGAAGATTACTTAGCACGTACAGAGCCCTCTGAAGACAAGGATCACCAGGCGGTGCCTGAGTGCTGCTCCCAGCCTTCGGCGCCGCTGCCTTTTTGGGCCTTGCGCTTTGGGAGTCTACGTTTTGTTCTCTAGAGGGGAAAGGGTGAACCGGTGTATCCGAAGGTTCCCTACCCGCACCTAGGCAGTAAGGTCCCTGCGTTCCTTGAAACTGTTGGGCTTGATGTATGCGTTGGAGGTTCGCTGCTCAGGAAGCTTTGAGCGCAAGGCTGCCGTCCTGCTATCCTAGCTTGTTCCATACTTCGGAGGCGTTGGGTTGTTGGGTTCGATATGGGTTTGGGGTTTAGGGTTTCCTAGTTTGGGGGTGTATAGGGTTCATGGTGTCTGGGGTTTCCTGGGGTTCTTAGGGTTCCTTAGTAGGGAGAAGGAGAGACTCAGTCACCTTCCATCCTCCTATAACTAATGGGGTTTTATGCCCTACTTGGAGGTTCATGGTACTTACTAACCAAGTATAACTACACTTAGAACTGTAGCCAAAACCATCGTGGGGCACCTAAGGGGCTTAGACCTCAGGCCCTTTTGATGTAAACCCTACACGATTACCCAAGCAAACCGTAAACCCTAAACCCTAAACCCTAAACCCTAAGCCCTAAGCCCTAGGCCCTAAACCCTAAACCCTAAACCCTAAACCCTAAACCCTAAACCCTAAACCCTAAACCCTAAACCCTAAACCCTAATCCCTAATCCCTAAACCCTAAACCCTAAACCCTAAACCAGAACTGGACAGCAACTCCTGGAGCTCTACCGTTTGTTTTTGTTGGGCTCTAAAGCCTACTGGTAGTTCTACGCAGGGTTAGGGTTTAGGGTTTAGGGTTTAGGGTTGAGGGTTGAGGGTTTAGGGTTTAGGGTTTAGGGTTTAGGGTTTAGGGTTTAGGGTTTAGGGTTTAGGGTTCCGGGTTCAGGGTTCAGGGTTTAGGGTTTCGGGTTTAGGGCTTGTAGTACCCTAAATAGGGCTTCGACAGTTTCTTGTAACTGCCCGTGAACCCCCAAGTCAAGGCCCTAAAGGACCTAGAACCCAGAGGCCCCAAACCCTGTTTTTACCCCGACAGCGGGGACACCCACGCTTTCAAGCGTCGCCCTGGATATAGGTAGAGTTCGGAAGGCACTAGATCGGGTTAAAAATCCGATAGCTCTGATTTGTGTAGGCTCTTTTGGAAAGGTTCGTAAAGCAACCCTAAACCCTAAACCCTAAACCCTAAACCCTAGTAAACCCAAGCCCTGGCCCAAGTTGGTGGAGCCAGTTGTCCGGAACCAGTCTCCCTCAGCCTTTTGCATCTAGGGAGACTTAAACCAGTCTCCCTAACCCTAAACCCTGAACCCTAAACCCTGAACCCTAAACCCTGAAGCCTAAACCCTAAACCCTACACCCTAAACTCTGTCCAAGAAGCGCAGGGGGCTCTGAAGACTCCGAGTCCGATGGCGTCTTCTTCCTCTTCCTCAAGAAGGGTTGAAAGGTTCGGCTCTAGGGAACACCCTACACCCTAAACCCTAAGCCCTAAGCCCTAAACCCTAGACCCTACACACTAAACCCTAAACCCTTTAGTCTCTATAGGGCTTTAAGGAAGAAGCGCTTGCGTCTAGGAAAGGCGCTAGCCTAACCCTGAACTTCCGGACCGAGGGACCCCAGGGAAAACCCAAAGCATGTTCAACAGGCTGTTGATAAACCCTAAACCCTAAAGAACCCCCCCCCCCGCCCTCCGAAAAGAAGCCAGGTTGGGGTTTAGGGTTTAGGGTTTAGGGTTTAGGGTTTAGGGTTTAGGGTGTAGGGTTTAGGGTTTAGGGTTTAGGGTTTCGGATGTGTGAAAGGGCAACCTGAAGCATGCTGCTAAAAAAAATCAGAAGTCAGGGCGGAAAGGCGGGTGGGAGAGCCCGAAGCGGTGAAAGCTTACCTGCCTATCCAAAATATCTACTTGGAGGTTCATGGGACTTAATAACCACTTATAACTGGGCTTATAACCCTACTTATAATAGGGACAACCCCTATAAGGCCCTTTAGCGGGACTTAATAACCACTTATAACTGGGCTTATAACCCTACTTATAATAGGGATAACCCCTATAAGGCCCTTTAGGGGTTTCAGAAGTGGGGTTATAAGTACAGTTGTAATGGGTTAGTAAGTACCATGAACCTCCAAGTAGTATACGATTTTTGTAAAGTTGGCAGCCCAGTAACCATATTACAATAAGGGCGCAGTACCTTTTTTGAGGTTGGTTACTTTATCAGGGAACCTAGACCAAAAAAAAGGTGGCAAAAAGGGTACGGTTGGGCTACCAAGTAGATACAGCTCCCCAAGCTATAGCTCAGAGCTCTGATCTAGCGCCACACCTCGTGACACAGGCAGTCGTTGCCAAGACTCTTCTTCGTCGAGAAGGAGTCGAAGGAGAAGAACGCCATGAGGATGCTGATGTTATGATTTTATGCTACTTGAACTTGGGCTGAAACTAAATCTTTGTAGAGTACTGACCTCCGGCATGAGCCTCATGGCAAGATAACCCTGAACTCTAAACCCTTAATTTGAGTCAGCTTTCTGGTGTCATGGGACTGTTCACTTTCATAACAAAAGATGATTCTCTAGGGTCAGCACAATGTGTAGCCACCAACCTTTTAGGCCTTTAGGGCTTAGGGTTCAGGTTTAGGGAACCCTAAACCCTAAACTTTAAACCCTAAACTTTAAACCCTAAACCCTAAACCCCATGCCCCTAAACCTTAAAACCACCTATCTGACACCCAGCTGTGGCCGGAGCCTGGATGTGCCTCTGACAAACGCAGGCTTGCTCAAAGATGAAAACATAGGGTTTAGGGTTTAGGGTTTAGGGTTTAGGGTTACATGTGCAGACATCCAGAAATCGATGCGTGTATCCACCTCCTGGTTCATGCGTGTGCACGTGCATGCAACGTAGCGCGGCACCTTCGAGCCCCGAAAGCTTTAACAGACGTGGAGGTTCATGGGTGGTGAAACATAGGGCTAATAGGATTCTAAGTAGAGTACCATATAGTAATAAGCATGCTTGCATCTAGCCATGAACCACCAAGAGTAAAGGACCTACCTAGACCCGACGCTGCCCCAAACCCTAAACCCTAAACCCTAAACGCTTTTTTGTTGAATGGGGTGCGAGGGGGGCGGACAAAGGGAAACAGGTTTCTGAGAGGGCAGCTTCACCGCTTCACCTGCGTCTTTTGGGCTCATCTAGAAGCCAACTTGAACAAGCCTAAACCCTAAACCCCAAACCCTAAACCCTAGACCCTAACCCTAAACCCTAAACCCTAAACCCTCACACAGCGCAGGGTTCCGGGATCGGCTCCTACTCTCTGGCCGGGACTTTCAGTCTTCATGACTCGGAACCTAAACTCTAAACCCTAAACCCTTACTCTAAACCTAAAACCCCATGCCCTTACCCTAAACCCTTGTGATCACAGGCCACCCATTGAACCCAGGCCACCCCGGAAACCCCTCCCCCGAGAGCCGCTAGAAACCCATACTTCGGTTTTAGGGTGTCTAGGGTGTAGGGTTATAGACCTTATATATTCATACTAAGGACCCTTACATAGAGGTTTAAGGTACATTTCTCAAAATAAGAGAGGGTCCATCAGGCTGACACTCAATTCAAGTTCCACAGGGAGAGCACCCCAAAACCGTTCTTTGTATGGTCACTTCTCTACAATAGGGTCCCATTTGGGGTCCTTACAAACAGGTGGCCCCTCTCATTCCGGGTACCCCAAAATTAAAAAAGGCACCAGATCTTAGAGAACTCAGCGTAGGATTGAAGGTCTATTCCTAAAAATTAAACCCTAAACCCTAAACCCTAAACCCTAAACCCTAAACCCTAAACCCTAAACCCTAAAGACCCCGGGCCCGCGGCCATAAAGCTTGTCGACATCCACAGTTGCATCCATCAAGAGGCTCGCAAACTGACAGAAGGTTGGGGTTTAGGGTTTAGGGTATAGGAATCTGGAGTTTTGTTTTTTTTTTGGTGGGGGGGGGGGGGGGGGGGGCCCGTTTGCGGTCTTCCTCTTGGAGGAGTGTCGAAGGATGTCCAACTCAGGTTCGGGGTTTAGGGTTTATAGTTTAGGTTGTAGGGTTTATAAACCCTAAACCCTAAACCCTAAACCCTAAACCCTAAACCCTAAACCCCAAACCCTAAACCCTAAACCTAGTACAGAAAAATTAGGGTGTGGGGTGGCCCGTTTGCGGTCTTCCTCTTAGAGGAGATTTGCATTTTGGGGGACCCCTCTTTGGGAAAAGATTAGGGTGGAAGGATGTTGAAGGATGTCCAACTCAGGTTCGGGGTTTATAGTTTAGGGTGTAGGGTTTAGGGTTGAAGGAAACCCTAAACCCTAAACCCTAAACCCTAAACCCTAAACCCTAAACCCTAAACCCTAAACCCTAAACCCTAAACCCTAAACCCTAAACAATCAATCGAGGCAGGGACCCCTTTTGTGTCCCAGACACCTAAACTCTGCCAAGACCTCGAACCCGAACACAAAGCCAAACCCCGAATAAACGAGCTCCCGTCTTCGGTTGCCTAAGTGGGTTTAGGGCTTAGGTTTCGACTCTCACAACTCGGGCCTCGCGACGGATGTTGGGGGTTGAGGGCAGGGTTGAGGGTCTTGAGCTGTTTCGGGGCTGAGGGCCCGAAGGTGGGCATAGACAGCGCCTTTTTTGCCGCCGGGTGGGGGGGGGGGGGGTGGGGGGGGGGGGGGGGGGGTGGGGGGGGTTGCACGAAGAGCCGTCGAGGTTTCTGCCATGCAGGCTTGCAGCTCGTGGCCTGGAAGCCAATGCCCCACAGCAATGTGAATCCGAGGGTTTGGGGTTTCAGCAAAATCCAGGGCTCTAAGCCCTAAGCCCTAAGCCCTAAACCCTAAACCCTAAGCCCTAAACCCTAAACACTAAACCCTAAAGCACATCAGAAGCTAGCAGGATCCCACCTGGCACCATCGAACCACACGCTGGTTGGGCCCACCGACCACATCCTGCCACGAAGCTAGGGATTCTGCTTTACCGCTGTTAAAAGTGGGGTTTATTTAGGGTTTAGGGTTTAGGGTAAAGGATCCCGAGATTCCGAAAGAGGCTGGGGGAGGGGTCGGGGAGGGGGGGGGGGGGGGGGGGGCGGGGGGGGGGAGGGGAGGCGGGGGGGGGAGGGGTGGGGGAGGTCTAAGGGTGAGGAAAAGTGATCTCAGTAATCTGTTCTCTTTGTCCAGGTGCAATCATGTTTGAACCACATCTTCAGGTGCCGCGAACGGCGGTCTTCATCGATTTCGGCTCAAAATTTTCAGGCAACAAAAACCTGAGAAACAAAAATGTGCCCTTTTTGGTTTTTGAAGAACCTTAGAAGGGGACCCCTAAACCTCCCCAAGAAGGCAAATAAGGGCCTACCCTGCTCTCTCTGGGCATCTCGGGGCTCAGCGATCTCCAGAATGGTTTGTGGCCGTCAATGTTGGACTGTGCTCTTCAAACTACTTGGAGGTTCATGGTACTTACTAACCAATTATAACTGTACTTGTAACCCTACTTATAATACCCCTAAAGGGCCTTATAGGGGTTATCCCAACAGTAAGTAGGGTTATAAGCCCAGTTGTAAGTGGTTAGTAAGTACCATGTACCTCCACGTACAATACCAAGAAAAGCAGCTGGTACTGTTGCTAGATGTGGTTTGTATGCAAATTTGGTGCACTGTCTAACCCACCTTTCAGGCTGGTTCTAGGGGATGTAAGGTTTCGAATACCCGCACAAACTCCACAAACCCCCCAAAGAGCACTCAAAAAGCCCATACAGCCCCTAAAGCCAGAAACCCCAAAGGCCCCATATTCGGGTTAACCACTGGCCGGCCCCACGTAGCGCATGAGCTCGACGCCGTTGCTCGGGGGCGGGTTCCAGGCAATGCTCACTTCCCGCGAGGTCGTGGACCTTTCTTGGCGCGTTCTGCCCCAGCAGCTGTTCAGCCCTCGGCCTCCCCCCCACCCCGCCCCCTAAAGACTTTTTTGCTCCTAAACCTTTAACCCCTGACCCTGAAACCCTACAGCGGCCCAAAACTTCACACACCTAAATGATGACCCTGCACACCTCCACAACCCAGAGGATCCCTTAGGGTTTAGGGCTCAGGGTTTAGGGCTTAGGGTTTAGGGTTCAGGAACCTTGATTTAAAATCAGAAGTCGTGAAGTATCTTGTAGTCCCGATAACGAGCAGCAAACCCTAACCCCCTAAAACTTAAACCTTAAACACGCTCCGCGGGCATCAAGTTCCCGGAGACGGCTGGTAAGAAGAGAAACAAGGACGTCCGTGTTACCAGTGTGTATGAGTGGCCAGGGCATCCAAGTACTAGATTGCACCCACAGCCATACCCTTTATTCACTTAACATCTGGCGAGGAAAAACACCCAACATTAAGCCCCCCCCTCGCCCTCCAAAAAAGGAACGGATGTGGCTCCTCAGGTGACGGCTCCTCCCACAAGTCCGTGAGCTGAGCCGGCTTGGAGTTCTTGGTGCTGAACTTCGTGACCTCATGGGGTTGGGTCCTCTTTGGGTTTAGGGTTTAGGGTTTAGGGTTTCGGGTTTCGGGTTTGGGGTTTAGGGTTTAGGGTTTTGCGTTTGAGCTTTTTGGGGCTTAGGGTTTCGGGCTTGGGTTGTTTAGGGACCAGTGGTCTCAGGGTCCAAACCTGAAGGCTGTCTGCAAACAACCGCGCAGGTCCCCAATACCCCTTAATCAACAGGAGTGTATAGGGCCCCAAAAAAGCACATAAGCAAAAAATAGAATAGGGATATCCCATAAATCCCCTTATGCTGAAGCCCAAAAAGGCAGGGATATCCCAATAAAATGCTTATGCTTATGTCCTTTTTGGGTCCCTAAGTGTATGCCCTAATTCATACTAAGGATCATTCTCATCGACTGCACTGAGCCCGAAATCAGAATGGTCATTCGCCACAAAACCGAGCTAGGATTCAGACTAGTGATCCCTATATAGTTTAAGGTACATTCTTTAGTAAAAGGGGTCTTAAGCGCTCTTTGGGTGTTAGCTGTAAGAAGTACGGGCTCTTTGGGTTCTGGGGCGTTTCATCCCTTTCACAGCAGGCCTGTGGATCTCGCCAGGACAAACTTCTTAGTCCTTTTTTCGACTTTTTGTGCTAGCCAGACTCTTGGTGTTAGCTGGCACCACGGCTTTCCGTCAAGAACTAAAGCCCTAAACCCTAAACCCCCAAACCCCAAACCCCAAACCCTAAACCCAAAACCCTAAACCCTAAACCTAAACCCTAAACCCTAAACCCTGAAGTTTGTTCTGTCGCGCTTAGGGCCGGCCTCCGACCATGCGCTGCAGCCGATGCCTCAGCGCGCTTCGGATTTGCTGGGGCTCAATCAGTCTTCCTTACTAGGCTGCCCAGTAACCTAGGCTTAAAAAGGGTGCCCTTTTTTGCTTAAAGGGGTTTATAAGGGAACCTAAACCCCCAAAAAAGGGAATAAGGGCACTACTGGGCATCCTAGCTTACTGGCCCTAATTACGTACTGGCCCAAAACCCAAGGAAATAGAAGTTGAAACTTTCAGAATCAACTACCTTACAAGAAGCCCAGAAGTTGAAAAGTTGGGTTTTGAGCCAGTAAGATTCTGGAAGCTTAGGGGTTAGGGCTTAGGGTGTTAGGGTTTAGGGTGTTTGGGTTTAGGGTGTTGGGGTCTAGGGTATCAGGGCTTAGGGTCTCTCTACCTCTCTCTCTCTCTCCATTTTTTCTCTGCAAGGGTTTTGCGGTTTAGGGTGTTAGGGCTTTGGGTGACCCTAATCCCTATGACCCAACATACTAACACTAAACCCCTAAACCCCAAACACAAAACCTGTTAGGGTTTTGGGTTCGGGTATACCTCTGCAGGGGGGAAGCTGCTCCTGCAGCTTTTGTCAGAGTCGAATCTTGGAATCTCGGAGCCTCGCACCTGTTGACGCATGTTCCGTGCGAACGAAGCCATGCTGTTGGTTAGAGGCTTAGGCCCTAAACCCTAAACCCTGAACCCTGAACCCTGAACCCTAAACCCTAAACCCCAAACCCTAAACCCCAAACCCTAAGCCCTAAACCCGGGTGAGCCCACTGAGCCACTCTGAACAGTAAACTCGAAACGGCCGGGGCCATGACCTCGTTTGTACCCCACTGCTCCTAGGACCCCTTTTAAGCAGCATGGGCCATTAGGGTTTAGGGTTTAGGGTTTAGGCCTTATAATCCCCCTAACCAACCCTATAAAGGACCTTTTCAAGGGGTTCTAGGGAATGTAGGTAAGCCCAACTCTTTGAAACCCAGTAAGCCTGGCCTATTTCCGAATACAAGTTGCGTCTTGGCGTTGGGGAACCCTAAACCCGAAACCCTAAACCCTAAACCGCGGGATGATCGAGATGCTAGTTTGCTGCGAGGGGCTGTTGCATGCCCGGTGCGTGAAGTAGTAGGCTGTGCCATCTGTCCGCAGCAGCTGGACCCGAGGGCTCATCGGGTTTAGGGTTTAGGGTTTAGGGTTTAGGGATACAGGGGTTCAACCACAGCTAGTAAGGCATATTTAGGGCTATCAGGCTTCCCGAAACTGTCCCAACAACCTACACCTACACCCCCAAACCTGGACTACAAGGCCCTTTATTTACGCCCCATACCGCAAACTTGCCAACATGGGTAGCCCCAATTCTGGTGATTTGTATGGTAACCATTCTTAGAAAGAACTTAAAATCCCACTCAGAACTACCCGAATGAGCCTCCAAGTAAGCTCCCGCAGCTCGAGACCTATACTTGCCACAAGAGCCCAATTAGTCAGCATGAAAAAGTATCCCCGTGTCGTCTGAGGCACCTTCCTTACATAACCTCATGGGTTTCCCTACTACCCCCCCCCCCCCCCCCCAAGGCTGTTGGGGGGGTTGGTATAGAGGGGGGTAGTAGGAACCCATGATAACCGATTCAGGTCCAGTCCAAAGTACCCAAGCCCTAACCCGGAAATGCGGCAAGGGCATACTTGGGCGTTCATCGGTAGCGAAAAGTAGGAATATAACTAGACTTACCTACTCATAACCCTCTTTCGGGTGCTTATAACCCTATTTATGACCCGCAAACCCTGAACACTAAACCCTAAACGGCCCTAAGCCCTAAACCCTTTTTGCTAAACCCTAAACCCTAAACCCTACTTATAACCCACCCAAATCAACCTCCCAAGGTAGGAGGCTCTAAGTATGGCAAGCAAGCACCCTAACCCTAAACCCTGAACCCTAAACCCTAAACCCTGAACCCTAAACCCCAAGCAGTCGCCTTTCAAGCCGTGCACTCGGAAGGCGTAGCTGCCCTGGTCCATAAGCTTCTAGGCTTGAGCGAGTTTTTGTTTTTGTTCTGTTGTTTCGGGAGGGGGGGGGGGGTTTAGGGTTAAGGGTAAAGGGTTAAGGGTTAAGGGTTTAGGGTTTAGGGATTGGGTTTCGGGGTTTGGGGTTTGGGGTTTAGGGTTTGGGTGGGCCTTGGTCGGAGCTGGGGCTTGCGGGGTACCATTCTGGAGGAACAAAATGTATCCCAAAACCTAAACCCTAAACCCTAAACCCTAAACCCCAAACCCTAAACCAACTGTTAGGTTCAGGGTCCAGGGCTTCGACTCTCACACTGGCACATGTCTGGGTTTAGGGTTTTCAGGGAGGGAGGAGGGGGAATAAACTCTGGCCGCAGCTGTCTTAACCAAGTGCCTAAGCACAACTTGACCTTTACAGGTTCTGAGTAGGGAATGAGGAGTTCGGCACCTGCTACACCCCTTTATATATACATATATATATATATACATATGTACATATGTACATACATATATATATATATTATTTATGTATTTTTTATTTATATATTTATATATCTTTCAGGGAAATCTATACGGTACCTCAGCCTGCGAAATTTTCGGGGAGCAGGCCTGGTCCTTGTGCCTCAGCTTCTTCAGATCCTTGGCAGCCCAGTAGCCATAGGACAATAAGTTAGGGTTTAGGGTTTAGGCTTTAGGGTTTAGGGGGTTACTTTATAAGGGAGCCTAGAACCCCCCCAAAAAAGGGTAACACGGTACCACTGGGCAACCAAGAATCTGAGCCCTGGATCTTTGTGTTGCTCTGGACCTCCTCGGCGTCGATCAGTATCCTCAGTGGCTTGGTTCAGGGCTTATGCTGGTTTAGGGTTTGGGGTTTTGAGCTTAGGTTTTGGGGTTTAAGGTTTGGGGTTTAGGCTGTGACTATTTGGAGGTTCATGGATATCTATCAGAAGGGATCTGTGCACAGTACCCAATATCATAGCTATCATGCGTATTGCCCTGCTTAAAACTACCCACGCTTCTCCAAGTAAAAGGGCAGCCGACTAAGGGCGTTTTCTTGGGTTTGAACCTATTTTTGTTTCTATTACCCTGAATCCCCTTCGTAATTCTTTTAAGTCCATAACAACTGTAATCTCTCAAGGCCCCCCCCCCAAACCTACCCCAGTAAACCCTGAAGCTGCAGGGGATGCGCTGCAATGCGAGCAGGCCTTCCACCTTGGCTTTTTCTTCGTTGCTGAGTTCAGAAGCCCCGCCAAAAAAGTGTGCACTTTCAGTTCTATAGGGGGATTGTAGTAGCCAAAAGGGGCAACGTGTACTCACTCAGCTACTAAGTTGTTGGGGTTGCGGGCGTGGCAGCTGTAAAAAGCCCAAGACTTCTGGGTGTTGATCCAAGATATCGAAGGGGAGTTACATGGTTTCTCAATCTGAGCAGAGGCCTGCCTTTCCTTGCGCTCCCACATCGGGTTGGCAATATATGGGCCTGAAGAAGTAAAATAGGCTTCTTTTGCATGTTTTTGTTGAGGGGTTATTCTAGTATTAGTAGAATCATATAGGGACCATACGGGAAGACTGTTAGTAATTATTCCGACCCATATAGAGTACCCCCTCCCCCCCCATGTGTAAGCTGCTCGCCATTCCTCCTCGATCGCGTCGGGCCGCAGCGCTAGCCTCTCGTAGATTGTCACTGTGCATGGGCTGACATGTTAACAGTCCTTCATGGGATTGAAAATGGGGGGGGGGTAAAAGTAAACCCTTTCGCGACTTATTTTTGAATGGGTAAAGGAAAGAAGTGGAATTGAAAGTTATCCCAAAGCACAACCCAGGTATTCCGGAAAGGAATTCCCAATGCCAGAATCACCCCACAAAAGTGATCAAGGACAACTTCGCACTAGACGACCTAACACAAAGCCGGGCGCAATGGTGATCATTGCGATACTTTGGGGATGTGCCCCCGTATACTAACAGTCCTTCATCTGGATTAGAATAGGGGTACCATCATCTCAATTAAGCCCGAAACCCTAAATCCGAAACAATAAACCCTAAACCCTAAATCCTAAACCCTAAACCCACTCTTAGTATACGGGGGAACATCCCAAGCGATACTGGTGAAGCCTAGGCTCCGAGATTCGATCAGACGTTAGCAGTGCAGCAGCAGGAAACGAAGAACAGGCTACATCAGGAGTTACCCTAAACCCTAAACCCTAAACTCTAAACCCTTAAGGTTGTACCCTTGGGTTTGGGGTCCTTTTTTAAGGATCCCGAAGAGACTACAAGGGCCATATTAGGAGTATTAAGGGGAACCTTTAGGGGTACAACCTTAGGGGTACGAGTCTTCATCCCTCGAAACCCTACACCCCAAACCCCACACCCTAAACCCTGAGCTTCCCGAAACCAACAGCCGATTCTGACACGGAAAGTCCTGGAAGCTTGAAATCCCACGTAATCAGCAGCGCCAGATGAACAGGTAGGCGTTGGGAACCCTAAACCCTAAACCCAACAGCTCCGGCTCCGGTTTAGGGTTTAGGGTTTAGGGTTTAGGGTTTAGGGTTTAGGGTTTAGGGTTTAGGGTTTAGGGTTTAGGGTTTATTTGGGGTTTAGGGTTTAGGGTTTAGGGCTTAGGGCCAACCTAGGATGGTCAGGCGGCTCCTTCTGTGTTAGGTTTGCAATGGGTTTTGAGGGGAGGCTCATCCTGAACAGCAAGGAAGAAGGGGTACTACTGGGGTTTAGGGTTCAGGTTCAGGAGTAGGGTAACTAGAATTATAGCTGGTTACAACCTTGCTTATATCCCTACTCATAAACTTATTTAGGGTTGAGGAAACCACAAGAAGAACCGCCGCATGATTTGAGGAATGTGCTTAATGATTTTGGAAGATCTGGGCAACTAGGCGCCTGATCTCGTACCTCTCAATTTCCGCGCCGTTGTCATGTGGCGGCTTCCTCAGCAGATTCTGCATTCGGGCAACTGTGGAATGTGCATAAGTCTCTCTTGCCGGTGAAGAACCTCGACCCCTGGGAGGATCTACAAAGTAGAACCCCCAAGTAGTACGCGATACTGCTATTGGGTCATCCTAAACCCTAAACCCTAAACCCTGAACCCTAAACCCTACACCGTCAGGTCTAGGAACCCTTACAGGGATCTACTTTTCGGATCCTCGCAGGGGTATGGGAAGCTATGTTTCAGGGTTTTAGGGTTTTAGGGTTTGAGGGTTTAGGGTTTCGGGTTTTAGGGTTTAGGGGTTCAGGTTCCCTTATCAGCCTCTTTCAACTAGTGCTACAAGGGCACCCTTTTTGGTTGCTAAGTTACTCTTGGGTCTAGCCTCATGCTTAAGTGCTTCTGGGTACGATCGCTCTCTCGATTGCTCTTGATGTCCAAGAGCATTCGTACGTATTGCCTGTGCTAATCACTACAAGTGAACCCCCAACCCTACTTGGAGGTTCGTGGGTAATAAGTAGGGTTACAAGTATCGTAGACCCGATTTAGGGTAATTATGACCCTACTTATCGCTGCACATGAACCTCCATCACCCATGTTCATTTCGAAGGAGAGTTGCGGAGATGGGTTTAGGGTTTAGGGTTTAGGGATGGTTTAGGGTTTATTGTTTAGGGTTTCGTTTAGGGTTTAGGGACCCTACAATGGATATATGGACCGGCGCACATACAGACCAAACGCAGTCGTAATTGGACAGCGCTGTTTGAAGACCCAAAAACCCTCAAACCCTAAAACCCCAAAACCCAAAAAACCCAAAAACCCAAAAAACCTAAAACCCTAAAACCCTAAAACCCTAAAACCCTAAAACCCTAAAACCCTAAAACCCTAAAACCCTAAAACCCTAAAACCCTAAAACCCTAAAACCCTTCAATCCTAGACCCTAACCCTAAACCCAAAACCCTCAACTCAGGCTCCAGCCACTTGACTTCGATGAACTCAAGGGAGGTCAACTCAGAGCTGAGAGGCATCGGCTCATTTGGCACCTGAGTGTATAGAGAGTTCTGTTAAACGCATTGGGTTTAGGGTTTAGGGTTTCGGGTTTCGGGTTTAGGGTTTAGGGTTTCGGGTTTAAGATTTAGGGTTTAGGATTTCGAAGTTTAGGGGTGGGTGTATAGAATGGGGGAGTCCTTTTGGAAGACTAGTAATAACAAAAACACTTGAGAAGCTCGCCGGCTGATCGGCATTTTGGTCCTCACCACTTGTTGCTGTGTTCTTGCTTCCTACGCTTTGTGCAAACCGAAGCTGTGTTCCTGTCATTTGATCCACATCCTCGCATCTCTAGTAATAAAATCTCACCCGGGTTTGGGCTGTGATGAACGGATAGGAGGAAAGGGATGGGTTGGTTGTTTTTGGGAGGGCCTCGGGCCGGTTCCAGGGTGGTAACACAGTAGGTGCCATGTCAGGGTTGATGACAGTTGGAGGTTCATGTCAAGCCTGGAAAGTGCGCAGTTGTAAGTATAGCTACGACGAGGGGGGGGGGGGGGGGGGTTAGGGGCCGGGGGGTATGCCTTCGACAAACAGATGGGAGTTGAGGGAAGCTAGTATCACCGCAAGGGCCTACTGGCAGTAGACTACAAGCCTAGACATGCAGCCAGAGAGTACAGTTCGATGGTGGGGGGTTTAGGGTTTAGGGTTTAGGGTTTAGGGTTTAGGGTTTAGGGTTTAGGGTTTCGGGTTTGGGGTTTAGGGTTTAGGGTTTAGCCCAAACCCTAAACCCTAAACCCCTTTGTTGAACCTGGGGCTATGCAACTGCCAAGTCCGAAACAACCCTAAGTACCCCAAACCTGCTGTTATTGCTTGCCTGCGGGCATGATAACGGATAGCTTACAAAAAATATACTTGGGCTTCTCAAGGTAGGACTTCGGGTTGATACCCTAAACCCTATACCCTAAACCCTAAACCCCAAACCCTAAACCCCAAACCCTACAATCTACTTCGGGGGTTACTTAGGGGGTTTTGGGGATCTCCAAGGGCTCGGCATCTGCCGGCATTCGCACGAGAGCGCCCTCGGGCGACCACTGGGAGGGTCCAACCTCCGCGAAGATGGGATAACCACAGGGTTCTTAAGGGGGAGGTTTGGGGTTTAGGGCTTAGGGTTTAGGTATGTATGTAACCCAGGTTCCTAGTACTCCCCACTACTCCCGAAGGCTCCCGCAGCTTCCCTAAGGCTCCCCAGTCCTTGAGACGCCATCCCTTACGGACCCTGTAGGATAAGGGCTGTGGCTACTACTTGTAAACATGTAATAACAATTCTGAGTCGTTCTTCGATGTTGTTACTCTAACCTGTTATTCTCATGTATGCATGTATGTTGCTGTTATAGTAACAATAATATTGATTGTAGTTAGTAGATGTTATTGTTATTGAGGGTCTGGGGGTAGTTTGCGTTACGGTGCAGGGTTGTTCTTTTGGGCTTGGGGCGCCGAGCTTCGTGTCTTGGCGGGTTTTAGGTTTCTTTTTTAGACGAGGATCCTTGTTGCGGTTTTGGGGTTTAGTCCCCTTCCTCAGCCCCAAGCTTGCCAACTTCCACTCTCCGCAACCCCTGCACGCTACTCGCGCGTTGCAATCGGGACTCCTCCGCTTTTTTGGAAGCCCCAAACCCTCAGACCCCGCATCCGGACCTCAAACCGACACCAATCTTTGTTGCAAGCGCTACCTACTATTTGCTTAAACGAACCCCCCCCCCCCCCCAAAAAAAAAAAAACTAGACATCATAGTCCCTATTTGCCCTTATCATAAGAAAGAGTTTTTGATTTTTTGCTAGGGGGTCTCAAGCAGTTCATCCTTCTAGCCTTTTTTTGCATCCCTAGCCACAAACCCTAAACCCAAAACCCTAAACCCAAAACCCTAAACAATAAACCCTAACCGAAGAATAAGTCACGGACGTCTCCGAGCCCCGGACTGCGTTGATCACGCGGGCCTTCATGGAGTACTGCTCCCCAGGGAGGAGGTCGCCGAAGCTCCTCGGCTTTTAGGGTTTAGGGGTTCAAGGGTTAGGGTTTAGGGTTTAGGGTTTAGGGTTTAGGGTTTAGGGTTTAGGGTTTAGGGTTTAGGGTTTAGGGTTTAGGGTTTAGGGTTTAGGGTTTAGGGTTTAGGGTTGAGGGTTTAGGATTGCCTCCCGCCTAGCTGAACGAATGTCCACTTCGCCGGTTTGGGGTTTTAAGGTTCAGGGGCTCGGCCTTAGATTTGAGGCCGAACCTTGCTTCTCCAATAACCAGGTGAAAACAAAAAAGGTTGAACTTCATTATTATTCCTACTAAATAAGAAAACACCAACAGTTTAACCTTCGACTGTTGGCTAAGTAAGGACTTGGCAGCCGAGTTTAAAATTGGACCCCTTAATATTGGTCCCACCTTTTTGCCCAATAAAAAAACTTGGGAGTCCGTCGGGCAGGAGTCCAGGATCTTTTGGGTTTAGGGTTTTGTCAGATACCTTGGGATTTGTCCCCTTATACTCGCAGTCCTGAATTGGGATTTTAATAGAGGTTCTATTGAGGGCTGTTAGTATGAGGGGGAGCATCCAAACAGATACCACAGAAGCCCTGTGGGCCGTTGCCCCACAAAACCTGAGAAAGGAGTCGTGGCGTTTGAGGGTGTGTAGAAAGCAGAACCCCTGTAAAACCAAACCTCAAACCTTGGCCACAACCCCCCTTCATCACCAGAAGCCCTGTACCCTGAACCCTGAAGCCTAAACGGTGTTTGATAGGTTTCGCGGTTGGACCCTGAACCCTGAAGCCTAAACACCCCCAAGACAATGCAGCAAAACCCTCAACCCTAAACACTCCCTAAACCTAACAGTGTAACGCTGAAATCTTAAATGCTCCCTTGGCTGTTTAATTAGCAACATACAACATACATCTTGAGGGGCGCTATAGTACTTCTCCAGTAACCAGGGGAAAAAAGGTTAAACTTTCTTATACCTACTAAATAAGGACAACCCAACGAATTTAAAGTTCGGCTGTTGGCTAAGTCTAAGTAAGCATAGTAAGCCCTCCCAACACAACGTAGGGCTCAAGAACTGAGAGCCCGGCCCTTGCACCGTCTTGTCCCGTTCCTTCCTCAAGCGTGTGGACTCCTGATCTTTGTGGATACCCAAGAAAGTGGTTTAGGGCTTAAGGTCTAGGGTTTATGGTTTAGGGCTTAAGAGTCTGTACCAGGTGGGGCCTTAAACCCAGTAGGGTTTAGGGTTTAAGTTTTAGGGTTTAGGGCTCAATGTTCTTACAGATGATCCTCTTTAACTCCACGAGGGAAATAGAAACAACTTCTCAAGGGCCTACCCAGTTTAGGGTTTAGGGTTTAGGGTTTAGGGTTTAGGGTTTAGGGTTTAGGGTTTAGGGTTTCGGGCAATTCGCGGAGCATCGCTGGTTGGGCGAAAGGGTCTAGCGAAGCCCCCTCACTCCAGAAGCCCAAAACCCTGGACCCTACACCCTTTTGAAGAGGTCTCCCCAAACCCTAAACCCTAAACCCTAAACCCTAAACCCTAAACCCTAAACCCTAAACCCTAAACCTACCTGTAGCGGCAGATGAAAGCTGCGCTCCACGCATCTCTACTTTTCACGCTCGGGCGTACGATCCCTTGAGCCACGATCAAGCGTGGCGAAGCTTCATTGCCGGGACTCTTGCACATCTGGTCAAGATTGGAAAGCATTGACAACAGGAAACTCGATACAGCTTCCCCAAATAAGAGTTGACCAGAATGTGCTTGCGTCCTTCTGATATTCGGTGACAAGGCGGGCTACGGAGGCAGCATGGCTACGGTTTCGGAACCTGGAGTCACTTGCTCGGTTCTTCAACTCCTCAGCTACGTCTACAAGGCTCAATGTTCCGGTTTTGAGGAACTCAGCCATGGCCCCATTGGCTTTCAGGGGGTCGGCTTTCGTCAAGGCATCCACGATCATTTTCTGGTGCGGGACCCACCGTACCATTGAGGCCGTCTCCTGGAGGTCCTTCACTATGATCGCCAATTCCAAGGCCGCCTTCCTGTCCTGTTTCCCTTGCGGGTGTTCTTTCATCAGGCAGTCATACAGGCTCTTCGCGTCGGTGACTGCGCACTGGGGCTGCTTGCGAGCCTGGATATCGCCTCTCATCACCACCATGTGAGGCGACAGGCTATTCCGCCACTGCTTCAGTTCCACATCGTGGAAGACGGCATCCCGGATCATGATCTGCAACCAGTCCACCTCGTTGATCGCCTGCAGCATGGCCTGGGTCTCCCCTCCAAACGTGGAGAACACTTTCCTCTTCAGCTTGCTTGAGCGCCAAGCCATCGGCGATGCCCTGATCCTCTGGTTTCCAACAGGCAAGTGTTCTGAGGTGAGCACTATCCAGGCGCCTTGTGTGCTGTCGGCGGGCAGACCCACCTCGTCCAAGGAGTCATACTTGGATCCTGTGCCTCCTGCATCGGAGACGGCCACGAACGACATCTCCTTTGCCGAGAACTGCCAGATCACCAGAGGCCTGGCCGCCGTGCTTCGCAGGAAGTTGATGTTCTTGTTGAGGATGAGGACGTCCTCCACGGTGGCCGTGGTCAGCTTGCTTGCCATAAGAGAGGCTGTACCACATACCTCTGGCCTCGTCTCCTTTGCCACCCAGTTCACCTTGTAGATGGCGCTTCGGAAGCTCTGAAACTCTTCCTTGGTGAGGTCGGACTTTGGCTCACTCCGTCGCCCCTTTGGGAGCAAGACCGGCTGGATCTGCTCAAGGATGTACTTCTCCTGATCCACCAGGACTCGATCTTCAAGAACTCGAACCCGACGACCCGCGTACTCGGCCTGATCTTCCTCCCACTTGCCGAAGTGGAATCGTGCCTCGAACTTCTTCCGGACCTCTTCCCGGAGATGCTCGGCCATGCTGATGATGAAGTCGTCCACCTCGATGAGGACCTGAGTCACGTTGTTGCCCTGCTTGTCGAACTTCATCCACCAGCAGGGTTCCACCACGTTGCGGATGAATCCTTCGGTCGTCAGGAAGTTGGTGACCGTGTTCCTCCAGGCAGCAGGAGCATCATCCAACCCGTATACCGGGACCTCGACGACGATGAGGGAGCCGGGCTCAAGATGGAGCCCCTCGCAGGGTTCTGCGAAGATGGGTCCTTTCGACCTGCGAAGCTTGTCCGATTGACAGAAGGCGTTCTTGACGTCCGAGAAGACGAAGCGATGTCTGAGGTTGATACCCACCTGCATGAAGGCCATCATCCCTTCCGTCGCAGGAGTCGGCGCGAACGTGGTGAGGGTACCTGTATCTGGATCGCCATGACCCAAGATACACCATCTAGACTTGGCTTTCCAGTTGCCGGCTCCAGGCTGCGGCTTTCGCCTTCGCACCGTTCAGCACTCGCTCGGGGTACATTTCTCGCATCTTGCGCGCCTCGAGACCTTTGATCACCCGGACAGCTTTCGTTTTCAGGATGGCGCTCCACTCCAACTCATCGCTCTCCTTGAACAGAGCCTGCTCCTTCTGGCACAGCTGGCGCATGTCCACCTCATCTGCTCGACTTGCAACTAAGGACCATGCACCCTCCTCGTCCATAGCAAAGAGGCTGAAGTTCTCGTCTGGAGGTGGCCCTTCCTCTGGACCTGGTTCGGAGCGCCCCCGCTGCACCATGTCTAGAAGACGACCGATAGGTGTGCCGGGTGCTCGAGTGCTTTCCTCGACCGTGGGATTCGGAGTGGCGGAGGTGGAGGATGAGGAAGCCTGCGGTTCGGGACTCACTGACCCGCTCTCCTTGATCCTGGGAACCTTGAGAGGCCTTGGCTCAGGGAGTGCCGGATCCTCGCGGTCAGCCCGACTTGTCTCCATGTCGCCATAGGGTGGCTCTGCTCCTTCCTCGGGCACGGGAAACAATCCTTCTGAGCTCTCTGGCTCCTGCGCTGGCTCTTGTGTTGAGGATCTTCTTGAACCAGCGGTGGACCCCGAAACTTGTCTAACCGGTTGACCTCCTCGAGGAAGATGTGGAACCGGAAGTAGGCCAGGAGGAACGGGTACTTCAGAAGGGATCATGGCCGGGTCCTCAGGAACCACTCCAGTCGCAGTGGGCTCCAAACGAGGAAGTGGCACTCCCTCGGTCACTCGCTCAACTGGTCGAAGATGATCTTCCCCCGTAGGAGGCCCCTCACGGGAGACGTCCACTGCCCCAGCTTGTCCGCCAGACACTACCTGACGAAGAAGTTCTCCCATGTCCGGATCCGAGGCGATCTGTCGTCCAAGCACCTCGGACGGGAAGGCGGAGCGCAACTGCTCTGGTGAGCATCTCCACAGCCTGGTTCTCATAGCCACCCAGATCACCGACTTGTTGGCCAAGACCACCAGGCCCGGGCCCACCCACCTAGGAGTGGGATGAAGTGTATCGCCAGCCTTGCCGCGGCGGAAGCAGTAGACCCATTGCCCAGGTGACCAGGTCCTCGTAGGCACCATCGAGGTCTTGGCGGCGCGCTGGATCACATCCTTGCTCACGGCCTGCATAGCCAGTTGCCGAGCCTTTTCCCTCAACTCGGCCCTTCGGCGGAACTCGACTCCAGCCTCGTCCAGTCCTCCTGGGTCATGAAAGGCATCCGCCAGGGGAACCAGACCACCGGGGTCCTCGCTGAGAAGCTCACCGGGAACTCGCGGCAACTCCCCGAAGACCAGCTGGGTGGGTGTGTAGCCCCCAGAGTTGTACCAACGGTTCTTGGCCGCCGTCAGCTGTGAGAGAAAGTCGTCGAGCTCAGATAGGGAGCTCATCACGCATTGTCCGGACTGAATCTCCTGCTTGAGCTTCTGCTTCAGCCATCCTCCATGCCTCTCGGCTTTCGAGTTCTGCCATGGTGATTCCGGAGCTGTGGTGTGCTGAAGAATTCCAAGTTGCTCAAGTCCTCTCTCGAAGATTCCATGAAATTCATTGCCCCCGTCCGTGATGACCATGTAGGGAGGGCCGAGGAACCGAACCCAGGACTGCAGAAATGCCTTCCAGGTGGCGGCCGCTGAGGGGGTTCCGGAACTTGCCTCTATCCTCTGGGCCACCTGATATCCGGTACCATGGCACACCATGTTGAGCACGGCGACACTAGTCTCCTTGAAGGGAACATAGAACACGTCGATGGACAGGATCCGGTTGAAGGCGAAGGTCCTTGGGCACTGGGCCTTGCGACGATGGTCTGGGCCCTGTCGAATTGCACAATTCTCGCACACGAACTTGTCCCGCACGTACTTCAACACTGAATCCAAGGCACCAGCGGCGCGAAGTGTTCTCAGGAAGCGATCTCGAGGAGGATGCCCGGTGTTCACGTGTAGCTTGCGTACCAGATTCTTCTGAGCCTCCGACAAGACCTCCTCAGGGCCTTGTCCCCTGGGGTGGGCTTGGATGTCCTCCTCCATCTCCTCCTCGATGGTTGCCGGGAAGGAAGCGAGGGGCATGTTGTTGGCACATGACGTAGTCCATGATCTGGAGAAGTCACGCATCTTGTCAACGAACTTGTCCTCATAGTGGCTGCCCGGGTTATAGCCCTCGACTTGAAAACCAAGGCGCTGCAGTCGCTCTCTCCCGGCCACGTCCAGACCGTCCACTGACCTGGTTCGAAAAGCAGTGATGGACCACCGATCTCCTTGCCATGGCTCGACTCCGTGGAACCTCTTGGGGTCGAACTCCACCATCTTCTTTCGGTGACGCTGAAGTTCCCCAGCCACCGTGACCTTGGATCCCACTTCTCGCATGACTTTCCCGTTTTCCTTCTCCGTCCAGAGCTCTCCACCACTGAACTTTCCAAGCGCGATGCTGTAGTTTTGATGGGTGTTGTTGACGTCTCGGTGTCGAGGCATGCGGTTGTTCCGAGATATGGCCAGTGACGAACGAGGCCCCAGGGCGCCGTGGTAGGTCATGAACCCGTTCAGGTAGCGCACGGTATTCTCGATGAGGAGGGTGTGCTTCGTGATGCCTGAAAACTTGCCATGGGAAAACTGACCCAGGGCTGCGTAGACCACGTCCTCCCGGTCTCCGCTCCTTCGTCGAGAAGACGCGGGCCACCTCGTGGAGTTCAGAAGTCGGAGACATGAACCCATTGAGAAGTCTTGATCTCTAAGAAGCTGTTTTGCCAGGCACTCCTCTTCCCGGGCTTCCTCTTGGCTGCTGGGCGACGACCGCATTGAAGACAGAGGTCGCTCGAAAAGGATGGTTTCGTCGGACACCAAGCTGGCGTGCATCTCGGGATGGTTTGTCATCCACCACCCTCGCGTGCTTGATGCTAAGCATACCTCGGGATCTTGTAGTAGAGCACTCCATTCGCCCTGTCGTCGTAGCCGGTTCATGACATTGAAGTCCAACTTGGAAAGAAAGAACCGCCCCTCGTCAACCTGCCTCTTCATCACCTCCAAGCCCAAGCCTTGCCGAAGACAGTCAGAAATCTCGTTCCCCTCGTCTGAAAGGGAGATGAACACAAAAGCAGGTCGTCGCTGATCTAGAACTTCTCGAAGCTTGGAGCGGTGTTCCTTCTTTTCAATGCGCCAACCCGCTGCTGCTGTAAAACCTTCTTGTTCAGGTAGGACCCGAATCCCATCTCGACGAAGCGCCGCGCCAGTAGCCGTGCTCTGGAACAACTCCATGTAGTCCAGCTGAAGGGGGGAAGTGGCACGCCGCTGCTCTCGAGCCATCTGAACCAATTTCTCGGAAGCCGTCTCGACTTCCTTGGCGGGACAGTCCATCTCCTCCGTTGTGAACCAGCCTTGCAGCCGGGGGGCTCGCAGCACCCAGTATGGGCCCACGGAGGACCGCACCAAATTCTCATCGTATCCAAGAAGAGGGAAGGCCGGATCACGATGTCTCTGCACGAAGTTCACTCCTTTGGTGCACACCCACTCCCGTCGGTGTCCTCCACCCTGATCCGAGCCGCGTGACGAAGCCCCGGGACCGCGTTCCTGTAGAAGACCTTGCTCATCTCGACAGTCGTGCCAAACGATCTCCTCGCTCACTTTCGGCTCTTCGGTGATGGCAACCCAGGGCGCCTGCAACCATGTTGGGAGTTGGTGAGTGTAGTTCAGATCTCGCCAGTCTTCAGGGACTCGGTAGTGGACAGCCCAGCAGCTCTCATCACCGCCTTCGTGACGGATGGCCTGCTGGAATCCCGGGGACAGCTGTTGCCAAGAAAGCAGCTGCGAGGTCACGGCACACCATGCGAGAGCCTTGGGCCAGAGGAGAGCGGGAGGTCGAGCTCGTTCGGATTCTGCCCGGCTGAGCTCACCGGCGACCACTCCGTTGTTGAAGAGAGACCCTCGGGGCCCCCATCCTCGTCCACCTGCATCTGCTGCGCCACGGTCTTGTTCACCATCTCGGAGACCTGGACGGGAGTCATTCCCGATATGTCCATTTGGGTCCCCTGCTGCATCATCAGGAGCATCTGACCCTGTCCGCGGGCTAGGTCGCGCAAGGTGTGGCTCATCTCCTGAAACCCCGAGAGCATTGCCTTCAGCGTGTAGTTCAGCTCGGGCGGGATCGGCTCGTTGGGCACCGGGTTGGTCGTCGTCACGCCGAGAGATGCCGCCCGTGATTGGCCTCGAGGAGGAGGATTGTACTGAGTACTCGTAGGTCCTGGTTCGTCTCGGGAGGCCCTCGCTCTGGCCTTTGCTTTGGATCTTGGGAACTTGGGCACATACGAAGTCCTGGCCGAGCACCGGGGGCACACGGACCAGGTGGCGTATTGGTTGGCACGCCGAGTGTGAGGAGCTGGATGGAGGCACTTCCCAGGCTCCTGCGCGTCGTCCACCAAAAACTTCTTCTTCTCCGATACGGGGCTCTTTTGCGTGGTTTCCATCAAGGCCAGCCTGGCGTAGCTCACCCGAATCGTCTCCCACATTTGTAGCACGTGAAGCATCAGCTGGCGCCACCGCATCGTCTGAGAGTTGCCCTCCGCGCCGCTCGTCGAGCGAGACGAGTTGTCCATGCTTGTCGACGCGAGAGGGGATATCGAATTTCTGACTCACAGAGTCGCTGATGTTGCCCATTTGAGCAGCTGATGTCGTGGCAAGCGGAGACAAAGTTCCACGCGAGCTTCGATTCAAGGGCTTCCTACTGGCTTCCACGAGTGGCTTCGGGTCTGCATGCACTTGTTCTTGCTGACATGGGAGACTACCTGACGTCAACTCCATCTCCAGACCTGAAAACTGCTCAGACTTGCAAGACATGGGTGCGAAGCAGGAGGACCTTATGTATCGGGAAGAAGCTTGCGACTTCATGAATGCGTCGTCGGAGAGCTTGAACTGCTGTTTCGCAGTCTCCGGCACCGGAAAGTAGGTCCCGTCCCACTGCACCAGGGGCACAGCACGATGACCGGATGGCAACTTGACCATCGGCATGTTCACGCCGATGCCCTTGAAACACACCTCATCTGTTGTGAGGTCCATGGTAGTGCCCAAATGGGCCAAGAAGCCTACCGACAACAAGGGCGGCACGGGAGTGTCGATCACGATGAACTTGACCATGCACCCCTGGGACTCCGCCCAGAGCGATGGGCATCAAGATGGCCTTCTCCACACGTGCTTGACCTCCGATGCCAGTAGGTGCCGCCGCTGGCGCCGGGATCTCCACCGTCTTCAGACCCTTGCCCGCCAGCTCACACTCCAGCGCGCTCAAAGCAGCCTTGCCGATGATGTCCTGGGTCGCACCGATGTCCAGAATCGCCATCCCTGGTGGAATGGAGAGGAAGGCCCACGGCCCCAACTGCTTCTCGCCCTTCATCAGATCGGAGTCCGCCATGTGCACAGCATAGGAGTAGTGGGTGCTGCCACCACCCTCAGCAGGTCCCAGGTAGCAAAACCCTGTCACCTTGCTGACGTCGGGAACTCCGTCCTTGGCCAAACGACAGTCCTCCGACCAGTGACCTTTCTTTCCACACGTCCGGCACCTGGAAATCTTCTTCAGCTGCTCCTTCGACCATTTCGGCTTGGAGCCAACAGTGCCAGAGCCGCGGCCGTCGCCTCCCTTGGAGAAGCTGCCGCGGTCCTTGCGTCTCTCGGCCTTGAACTTCTTGTTCTCCTTCCAGGTGCGTTTCTTGAAGGGCGGGCGATTCTCCACCAGGGCAAAGACCAAGGCCGCCTGCTCCTCAGTGAAGTTCATGTCCGACAGGCCATGGAGGACCGTCTCGTCCCACAACTCACGCTCGGAGCTCTCTGAGCCATCATCATCGCTTTCGGATCTCTCCTCCTCGGCCAGGAAGCTGCTGTTCTCGTTGCGGACATCACCCTCGTGCTGGAAGGCAACCACTCGATCAGATCTCACGTCCATGCGAGCCAAGGTGGCTGCCAGACGATCCACATTGTGGTCCTCGCCCTGCATGAGCGCCGTAAGATTCTGGAGCCCTTGTTCTGACAACCCGGACCCCTCTCTCAGCATGGTGGCCTTGAGCTCACTGGGTAGATGCAGCCCATGGCTGGCCGTGCGGGTGAAGTCCCTCAACCTCCTCATGGCATACTGAGCTAAGGTCTCGTCACGCCGCCGCCCTGAGTCATGCATGACTCCTTTGTAGGCCTGCCTCCGCTCGTCATCTTCTCGCACTCCGGCCTTCATCTCGATGATCTGCAGGATACACTCCAGGTAGTGCTCCGAGATCAGCTGGGTCTCCGTCAAGTGCTCGAAGTCCACCTGCATGTCCCAGCCCAAGGTCCTCAAAACCTTCTCGGCCCGCCGGAACAACGGCACGTCCGTCTGCTTGTTCCACCTCCGGATCGCTGCCACCCATTGCCGACGATACGACCAACCAGGCCAAGCAGGTGGATCGCTGTAGTCGCCCTTGTAGCCTCCAGCGCATCCTGAGCCTTCCCACCATGGACCGGTACGAGGAGCACCTCCCGGGCGATCACCGCCGCTGCCCCAACCGCCAGGTCCGACGCCAAAGGGGAAGAAGTTGACAGACGAAGTCGCTCCCATCGGGTTTGTCGAAGAGAAGCGTCCTCCTGGAGGAGCCAAGCCCGGATGTTGTGGAAGCTGAGTCGATGAGCCACCCGCCACTGATAATCCGGGAGGAGGGCCAGCATGTCCGTGAGGGGGTCCCGGAGGTCCACAGCCTGGAGGAAATAGCCCGTATGGAGCCACCGGTCCACCCGGTAACCCGGAGCCCTGATAAGGCCCCCAGACATTGGGAACCACATGCTGTGCACCCAAGCCTCCGGGACATCCAGCAGCGGACGCTCCCAAGGGTCCGCGTGTCGATGGGGAGGTCGCGTCCACCAGCTGCCTCGCTGCTTCTAGCCAAGGATCCTCATGCACTGATTGCGCGCCACCATCGTCAGCCGCCGTCGCCGAAGAACTTGAAGCTAATCGGGTAGTAGGCACCGAGGTCATCCTGGCAGCCCCAGCTGCCGCATGCCGACTATCTTCTCCCCCAGGTAGTCGGCTCGCCCCAGTCCCAGCAGACTGGCCATCGCTTGCGTCGCCATTCATCATGTAGCTAGCGTGACCCAGTGAGGCATCCCAGCCCCCTGAGCTCTGCCATTCCATGGACCAGTCATTCCCCGAACTCCAAGGTCGGGTCGTAGCGCCCCAAGTCGAGTCAAACTCATTCCAAGTCGCGGGAGCACGCTGCCATGAGTGCGCAGGGTGAAAGTATTGGAGCCCTGGGTCCATACCCCAGGCGCTCCGCTACCAACTGTAGCGGCAGATGAAAGCTGCGCTCCACGCATCTCTACTTTTCACGCTCGGGCGTACGATCCCTTGAGCCACGATCAAGCGTGGCGAAGCTTCATTGCCGGGACTCTTGCACATCTGGTCAAGATTGGAAAGCATTGACAACAGGAAACTCGATACACTACCCATCGGATGCTCTGTCTTCGGATTCAGAGGCTGTTTGGGGCTTAGGGTGCCAGGATGGTCCTCAAAAACCCCTCAGAAAGAACAAAAACACATTGCGAAATCTAAGCCTCTCACACCCAGTAGGCGAATATATCCCAATATGCGAAATATCCCAAGTGCCTACCCCGAAACCCTGTTGCAACTGGAGCCCTAAACCCTAAACCCTAAACCCTAAACCCTAAACCCTGCAGCACCGGGAGGTTCATGGGTAGTTCATTTGAAGTGGGGTTATATGTCCCCCCCATCCCCTAAACCCTTCTTGTTTTGAACCCTAAGCCCTAAATACTGAACCTTTAAACCCTACACCCTAAACCCTTCTTGTTTTGAACCCTAAACCCCAAACCCTCAGCCCGACTTATGGCTACCCAATGAACCTCCAAGCAGGGAGTAAAGCGCTGCTAGAGTCTATGGAGCTTAGGATGCACGGGTGCGGCACAATCCCCCCCCCCCCCTCTAAAGAAAAAAAAATCTGTGCTGAAAAGAGTTAAGGGTTTAGGGTAAAAACGGTGCTGAAAAGGGTTTAGGGTTTAGGGTTCAGGGTAAAAAACGGTGCTGAAAAGGGTTTAGGGTTTGGGGTTTAGGGTAAAAACGGTGCTGAAAAGGCTTTATAAGGTCTAGGGAATTTATGGTTCAGGGTTTAGGGTATTGTTACCCCAAACCTCTGAAGTTCAGGGCATCGTTGAAAGCTTGAACCCGAAACCAGCCTTGCTGAGTAATATAGGGGTCGGAAAAACTAGAATAGGGCTTTGGGGGTTCTTGTAGTAGAATGATAACGGGACCTTAAGGGAAGACTATACTAGTTTATGGTTAGATTGACTTTGTTTATTCCTTCTTGGGTTTAAGTACCCTTAGAAATGTAAAGTGGCACCCAACTACAAAGTATTAGTCATTATTCCGATCCCCTATAGTACGGGGAGCGGAGCCTCCTCCGAGACGTCCGTGGAAAACTCCTGCACCACCTGACCAGTCAATAACAAGGCGGCCATAAGTCCTATGAAGCACTGTGTCGGTTTAGGGTTTAGGGTTTAGGGTTTAGGGTTTAGGGTTTAGAGTTTAGGGTTTAGGGTTTAGGGTTTAGGGCTTGGCTTCCCTTTTTCAACTCAGGCTCCTCTTCTGTCAGCTGGCTTGGTTTCCCTAGACCCTAACCCCTCAACCCAACCCCGAATTCATGTTCAATCTGTGAAAGCCCAGGGTAAGCAAGGGCTATCGGCTATGGGTTTAGGGTGGACAGATCTTGTTTGCCGGGTACCTGCCACTTTCACAATTCTCGGACAGATGCATGCGTCGGCCAGGTCTCAGAGACGCCAAGACAATGCCGTGCAAGCTTTCCAATTCCGGTGCCCCGCGCGGTTGGGTGGGAATGCTATGCTTGCAACTGCTTACTGATCGTATTGCATAGTGTCACCTAAACCCTAAACCCTAAACCCTAAACCCTAAACCCTAAACCCTAAACCCAAAACCCTAAACCCTAAACCCGTATTGTGTCTTTTGGGCTGCTGGGCTTGAAAGCCCCACAGCTTCCAACCTCCTAAACGCGGACCCCATGACTTATAATAGTTCTCTGTACTGGGTAGCCCAGTCACCGTATTGTAAGAAGGGCACCCCGCAACCAAGAGCCAAGGGCTTCGGCTTAGCCACCTAACCCTAAAACCAAGGTGTGATATCCGCTGGCCTCGCCAGTCTCGTTCTGCACGACGAAGTCGAAGCGCAGAATGTGCCGTCCGTTTGTCCGGGCGCCGATCTGCAAGGCAATGAGTTCGCTTCAGCGGTTACTTCGCCCCAGTTTCCCAAGCAAACCCTAAACCCTAACCCTATGCCCTAAACCATAGGCCGCCCGCGCCAGGCGGCGGCCGGTACAACTGAACGCTACCGCTTCGAGATCTGCTTGCTTTGCCAAGCAGATCGAGCTTGCCACACCTGATGCATCCCTGCTAGCCATAGGGCACAATGTAATAATGGATTAACCCTAAACCCCCGACACGCGACCCCGGCGGGGGAGGTCGGGCCTAAGAAGCTGTTGCGCCCCCGCCAGGTTGCCCCGGTTGCCCTGGCAGGGTTGCCCCTGCCAGCCCGCCAGGGTTGCCCCCGCCAGGGTTGCCCCCGCCAGGGTTGCCCCCACAGGGTTGCCCCCGCCAGGGTGGCCTCCGCCAGGGTTGCCCCCGCCAGTTGCCCCCGGCAGGGTTGCCCCCGGCAGGGTTGCCCCCGCCAGGGTTGCCCCCGCCAGGGTTGCCCCTGCCAGGGTTGCCCCCGCCGGTTGCCCCCACCAGACTTGTCCCCGCCAGACTTGTCCCCGCCAGGGTTGCCCCCGCCAGGGTTGCCCCCGCCAGGGTTGCCCCCGCCAGGGTTGCCCCGCCAGGTTGCCCCCGCCAGGGTTGCCCTTGCCAGGGTTCCCCGCCAGGGTTGCCCCCGCCAGGGTTGCCACCAGAGTTGCCCCTGCCAGAGGGTTGCCCCCACCAGTTGCCCAGCAGGGCGGTTGCCTTCCCGAAATTGGCCTCGCCGCCTATTCAGGAATTGTGCACCTGTATGCTTCGTCGTCCTTGGGCCCTGCCAAAGTTCTCCATTAGTGGCCCCCGCCAGGGTCCAGACATATAGAAATCAATATATGCGTATACCTCACGGGTTGCCTCTGCCAGGGTTGCCCCCGCCAGGTTGCCCCCGCCAGGGTTGCCCTGTCAGGTTGCCCCGCCAGGGTTGCCCGCCAGGATGCCCAGGGTTGTCCCCGCCATTTTTCATATTTTCAAACTACATGTTCTATCTTCTAATATTCCTTTAAGGAATTCCACTAAAAATAAAATGGCATTTTTCCCTTTCATTATTAGTGAAGATTTCTATGGAAAGATATTAATTCTCGATCTATATCTTCTTCAAATTCATTTCGGCTTCTCTTCTTTCTCACATCCAGTGAATGCAGTAGAAGCATGTGGATTACTTACTCCCTTACATATCGTACCTGAATGGTATTTCTTATGCCAATATTAAGACGTCCAGTAGATTTAATGGTTTTTATCGCAACCCCGCCGGGTTGCCCAGTTTTACCCTGCCAGGGTTGCCCCCACCAGGGTTGCCCCCACCAGCGTTGCCCCCGCCAGGGTTGCCGCCGAGTTAGGGTTGCCCTTGGCAGGGTTGCCCCGCCAGGGTTGCCCCCGCCAGGGTGACATTGCCCTCGCCGGGTTGCCCTGTCAGGGTTCCGCGCCTCCTCACGTCGCCTACTCAGGAATTGTGCACCTTCTCTGCGACGGCCCTACGCACCTCGTCCTCTTCGCGCGCTGGCGAGGCTTCGTCGTCCTTCTCTATGAAGTTTTGTTTAGTTGCCGAGCAGGGCTTCAAGTGCGAAGGGCCCTGTCAAAGTTCTCTATTAATTAATTGCCAGGGTTTCCCATTAGTAGTCACCCCCGCTAGGGCCCTGCCAGGGTTGCCCCCGCCAAGGTTGACATATATATATATATATGTAGAGAGAGAAACTTACTGGCCCAAAACCCAAGGAATAAAAGTTGGAACTTTCAGAATAAACTACCTTATAGGAAGCCCAAAGTTGAAAAGTTGGGTTTTGAGCCAGTAAGGAAATAAGAAAGTATTTTTAAGACAAAAAAACCTCGCCTTGCCCCTTCCAGGGTTGCCCGTGCCAGGGTTGCCCCCGCCAGGGTCGCCCCCGCAGTTGCCCCCGTCAGGGCCCTTGCGCCAGCGGGTGGCCTTCCGCGCTTGGCCCTCGCCATTCTGCCATGTGAATGAGCTTGGGTCCGGAATTGGGCTTGAGGGTGTCTTAAACACAGTATGGGTGAAACAGATTGTCCCGCTCCCTGTTGATCCAGGAAAGTGTAGGCTCAAGCAACAGCAGCAGTCAACACGTCCCACCCCGGCCAGCGGGGAGACTCGAGGTGTAAGCCCCCTTGATAGGGGGGCCGTGGAGGGTAGACCGCTCTAAACCCGAAAAAGGCGGCAGTTTGGGTGGCTGGGGTGGGATCCGCTGCACCGAGGCGGCCCGACCCGCCACCACTGGCGCGGGTCGGGACCGCGGCACTTTGGAACACCCTAAACCCTAAACCCTAAACCTGGGTTCAGGTGCGTTATACGGACGATTCTGAATGACTGAGGAGCCTAAAGAAGCAACGGAACCGCATTGAGCTTGTCCAGCCTTGGAGCGTTCCTAAAGGTTAAGCTTTTAGGTGTAGAATGGGATTACACTGCCTTCAAAAGCTTACAGGTCTCTGGCTGTACTAGAACAAGGGAGCGACCAACTCGGTGGGAACCCGCCAGTGCCATTAGGGTTTAGGGTTTAGGGATTAGGGTTTAGGGTTTAGGGGGTAATGTGGGGGCTCCAGGCCCTTCTGCCCAAAAACAGATTTCCTCACATTCACTAAGACTACATTGAGCTTGGAACCCTAGCAACAATTAGTTTTTTGGTTGTTTTTGGAATTATGGTACCCAAAAATTCATTTAAAAAAAAAACTACTCCCAAGTATCCCGAAGAAAATGTTGCCAGCACAAATCTGTGGCTGGGCGGCTGCTAAGAAACTATACAGATGTGTATACCAGATTCAAGAGTCCAGGCTTTTTACTAGGCAAACACATGTTATGGCAGCTTTCACATACTTAAGGTTCGTTCGCAAGCCATACTATGTGCCATGCTAACTTTAGGTTGTGTTCATAAACCCTACTTGGCGGTCCAGGGTACTTATAACCCTAGTTATAACTGCACTTATAAGCCCCCTAAGTCCCCTAAGTAGGCTATAAGTAGACTTATAACTGTGGTTATACGAACGCATGAACCTCCAAGTAGAAGTCATAAAGGTCCCGACAAAGCCACGACCAGGACCCGAAGGGTCCAGGGCCAAGGGACTGTGGCAACAAACATATTCGGGTTAATGGGGTGAGGGTTTAGGGCTACCCTAAACCCTAAACCCTAAACCCTAAACCCTAAACCCTAAACCCTAAACCCTAAACCCTAAACCCAAACCCTAAATCCTAAACCTTATAAGCCCTAGTTAGTGGTTTCAGCCGCCGTGACTTGCGCTCTTCGTGTCGTCGGAAGCCATGTGCCAAGGTAAAACTGTCCACATGTACCGATGCCCAGATGGCAGGCTGACCAGGAGCCTGGTCCATATCGGTCAGGTGAAGGGTCAATGCAATCGCTTAAAAGTTTGGCAAACTGCCAAGATCCAGGAATGCCAACTTGGACTCACCCAAACCCGGGGAAGCCTGCAAGCATGAATCTAGCAAAACAACTAATTTGTCCTTAAATGCCAACCACTACTTCTGAGGCAAAACTTCATGCGCCCCAGGAATGGAAGCTTCAAGTGTTGCACCGTGGGCATCATCAACTTGGAGTTTCTATACTGAACTTGGAACCCTAGCAGAAATGGTGCAATTTCAGCTGTGTCTTAGGAATTAGAATTACTCAAAAAATGAAAACTATTCCCAAGTATCCCTAAGGTTTGAGGAGAGCAGAACTGCATAGAGCTCTTTATCACCAGGCGACTGCTGAGGGGAGCCTGACGCCCACAACCGAAACCCGAAGAATCTTGTGCAACAGGCTTGCTCTCACACCCGGCTCCTGAAGCCAAACCTGAAACCTGACAAACATGCCGGCTTTGTTTAGCGGTTAGGGCTTAGGGTTTCCCCCACCCCCCCTCAACCCCCCCAAAAACCCCCTAAACCCTAAAGGCACTAAAACATAAGACCCCAAAACAAAAGTCCCTATAGACCCTAAAGGCTCGAAGACATACTGAGCTTCAAAACTCCCAAGCCGCAAACCCTTTTTGGGGGCTCAAGAGCCTCGAAACGAAAGTTGCCAGCGCTCTTCGCGTTCTTGGACCTGGGCGCGTCAGGGGTATCGTTTTGTCTATTTATATATACACACACACTTATTTACTCTTGCTTTTTTTTTTTTTTTTTGGGGGGGGGGGGGGGGGCGAGTGTGGGGGAGGCAGACGTGCGAAAGCTGGACACCTGTTTAGGGTTTAGGGCTTAGTGGGCTACAAAACGCCTCACCAGCACTCTTGCGAGCCAGGAAATCTAGGACTGCCCTTAAGACCTTCTGAAAAATTTTCCGGAATATGACCCTCTTAAACCCACTAAGGGGAAAATACCCAAGCTCCCAAAGGCCTACCGTGGTGAAAATATCTTGCTCAAGACAAGTGGGGAAGATGCGGCCGCAAGGTGCGAGATGAGACTAGCGGCGAGATGGGCCCAACAAGCAGCGGTTCGGAGATTCGTCTCCGGCACGAGGACCAATCAACAACCCTAAACCCTAAACCCTAAACCCTAAACCCTAAACCCTAAACCCTAAACCAAAACCGCCACGCCGGGCATCATGACATGAAGCCTAGCCCGACGAAGAACACAACTCAGTCGACCGCACTCGGCGGTTCATGGGTAGGTATAAGTAGGGGTATACGTATGGTAACTTTACTTATAGCCTTATTCAGGGTACTTATAGCCCTACTTATAACTACCCAATGAAACACCAAGTAGGAGTATGTCAGGTCGCATGTTTCTCCTCAATGCGGGGAGCATCATTGGAGTGGCCGGCAGCAGCGGTCCTCTGTGAATATGGAGTCGAAGCACACACCGCGCATCTGTTGTCCCAAGTCCTATACTCCCCTTAGAACCTTAATAAAAAATGATATTTTTTATGTTTAATCTCCTCTTGGGTTTTGTATAAACAAAAATAGAAACTAGTTCCCAAGGGTGATTGTTTAATCCCCTCTTGGGTCTTATATAAACAAAAATCAAAAAAGAATTCCCAAGGGGGATATAGAGTCTGGGTCGCAGCAGAAGCGACACGATGAGTAAGTCTGATGCGCCAGGTTTGGCCTAACAGTCATCCCATGCTCCGGCCACGCATTTCCTAGGATGGCCCCCTTAAGACCCCTTAGGGTTTAGGGTTTAGGGTTTAGGGTTTAGAATATTCCCACCCTTTATCCTCTTAAACGTCCCAAAGGGCCTACCGAGCTTCGAATATTCCAGCAGTTCACGTCCAGCGGAAGGCATCTGCGGATGGAGGGCGGGAACTTCGCCACCTGCTGGGGCTTGAAGGCAAAGTCGCCGGGAAAGATGAGCCGGTCCTAGACTCCCCCTAGAACCTTAGCAAAAATAATATTGCTAATATCCTCTCGGGTGTTACATAAACAAAAACAAATAATAATTCCCAAGGAAAAGATCTAGGGTCTTGACTCTCCAGAAAGTGCTGCAAGTCTTCAAGCTTTAAAGGCCACAATGTCTTTGGCAAGCACGCCGTCACAGAAGGCAGAAGCTTGCGAACAACATCTTTGGCCTTTGCGGCATTCCCTGGATCTGTGTTCAGCAGAAGCTGTGAACAGAGGACGGCCAGGGAAATGTACCCGACTGCGCACGTGTCCCACTCGAACTGTTGCAGAACTGGCTGACAGGTCGTGGCGTCAATTGTGCTCACCTTCTTCTCACCAACTCGCTGCCAGACAGTGAGTACATGCAAGATGAGGTTGTCGTCATAGTCACAGCGACAGCCCTCGACCAGCGTCTTGAAATCCGACGTAACTTTGGTATTTCGCTTCGGTTCCAACTTGCCCTGCGACTCATCGGACAAAAAGGGCCGGAGGTTGTCACGAGCTCTGTAGTACGCAGCGTCCCATATCTGGCCACAGCGACTGATCTTCTCCCCGAGCGTGAGGTCGGTCACGCCAACCTGCCACAGGTTTCGATCCCCAGGCGTGAACGGGTCAAAGGGTAGCAGCTGGTAGGAGATGCAGGTGCCCAGAGGTGTGCCGAAGGTGAGAACGTCCACCCAAATGTTGCCAGGCACCTTCTTCTGGTGAATATACAGCGGCACGTCTCGACCATAGGGCCCAGTTCCAAACAGATCTCCTGCTGGCCAAAACTGCACCAAGCCTCCTTGTAAGAACAGCCCGTTCTTCAAGAAGCCTCCAATCAGTCCAGGACGCACAGGGCAAAACCAGTTTGAGGCATTCAGCTTCAGAAATGCTAAACGAAAGACATCCTTGTACCCATGCAGTACGCGAGTGAAGAAATCGCGCGACGCCAAGTAGTTAGCCAAGCAAATAGGCTTCCAATGCTTTTCCCTGTTGATCAGAAAGTGGCCCGTCTCATGCTCCTGGGCGTACTGCATGTCCGACGCGTTGTGCTTCAACTGCAACAGCTTTAGCGCCACATGCCCAGGCCAGGAACTCTGCCCCCATGGACGGCAATCGAAGGACCAATGGTCAGGCCAAAACAAGGCTCCTGTGTTCTGATACCTATGCTGCCCTTAGAACCTTCATAAACACATTAATTTTTAATATCCTCTTGGGCTTTATATAAACAGAAATACAAAATAGTTCCCAAGGGGGATATAGAGACTGGGGGGTTTCAAAGAGCTCCTCTGGTCTGTACAGAAGAGTAATATCGGTGTCCAGCCACAAGATCTCCTCCGGGAGAGTGGGTAGTTATAAGTAGGGGTATAAGCACCCTAAAGAAGGATGCAAGTATAGCTTTAGAACGAGATGCTTCTTAAAGACCGCCCCCGAAATATGATCTTAAACACGATCCTCCTAAACCCAATATATGATGTTAATATAGGGCCCTATATAACTTGACTATAGTAACCCCCCCCCCCTCCCCCAAACCCCATTCTAATTATTCAGGCCCATAAACCCTAAACCCTATATACTGTTCCAAGGTCTCCTGGAAGGAGGATGCCATGATGGAGGGCAGCACAGTCTCAAACTGCCGGTACACCCCTGGGACCTGGAGCTGCCGACATTTGGCACCCCTTGAAGCCTTGGTAGGGTTTAGGGTTTAGGGTTTAGGGTTTAGGGTTTAGGGTTTAGGGTTTAGGGTTTAGGGTTTAGGGTTTAGGGTTTAGGGTTTGGGGCAGCTCTTTTGAGGGGTTGGTTACTGTTGTCAAGGAAACCGGAACCACAAAGAAAGGGGGCAAATTAAATAAAGGGTACCACAGGGCCACCGAGAAGCCAATGCTGTGCAGTGGATAGGCTCAAGCTCGAAGGCGTGCCAAAACTCCACCGGCATCCCGGACTTGAGCTCAGTGCGCAACACTTCCTTAGCTGCTGAGTTCACATGCGCCCAAAAAAGGGTGTACGCTGTCAGTTCAAAGAAAGGGAACGACCTTATCAACCAAAAAAAAGAAGGCGCAGAGGTGCACTCAAACTCGACTACTAAGCTTCCAAATTCGCCAGAGCCTGCAGCACATGCATCGGGCCTCCGCTCATGACGATCCCGCGGCCTTCGAAGGAACCAGGCTGTGGCATGGGGGCACGCCCCAACTCATCCATGAAGTTCTGCAGCGCTTCGGCTTCTGTCGGCAGGTGCTGACGGCACTCTTCACGCGTCATGGAATGGCTGCAAAATGTGTCATCTGTGTCGGCCAGCACTCGCCGTGTGGTGAGGGCCCACCAGAAGGCAAACACACCAGGCTTTGAGGAATGGATGCGGCAGCGGGGCGTGTGTTTGCAGGAAGCCATTGCGAAATCTACTGCAAACTCGACATGCCCAAAGCTGGCGGTGAACCTTTTTGCGTTCAGATACTTTACAGGTTGAGACACCATTAAAACAGATCATGGACCTTAAACTTTAAAACATATGGAGGTGCTTACTTTGAACCATGGTATGTTCTACCAGTAGGGGGGGGGGTATGGGAGCTCTTTGTCTCCCCAGACATTTTCATGTATGACCGGTCGGCTAGCTGGCTTCCCTTGAAAGTGCGGAATGAGCCTCAACAAGGAAACATGCCCCCCATGTACCGGCTCAGGCCCCTATGAGCCACGGTGTAGGGTTTAGGGTTTAGGGTTTAGGGTTTAGGGTTTAGGGTTTAGGGTTTAGGGTTATCACCCTCCGGCATAACACCTCAACACACGCTGGAAACACAGGATAAGGCTGGCCTACTTGTAGGTTCACGGGTAGTTAGAAGCAGGGCTATAAGTACCCTGAATCGGGCTAGAAGTATAGTTGCCATACTTATAACCCCAGTCATAATCCATGAACGAAGTGCCCCGCTTTTTGTTCCAAGCACGGAACCAGTGTACACCCTAACCTACGCCTCCTCGAGATCTGAGCAAAGCTTTTGTAGAGAGGCAACCGTGTTCCGGGCATTGCACCTTGACCCAACTACAACTGTTCTTCGCAATGCTTGTATCCCCTGCCTGGTCCGCCCAAACTAGGTTTACTACCAAGAACAGAAACTATTAGAAAAGGACGCGCTGATGACAACGATGCTGATACTCATAACAATGAAAACTGCTCACGTACATCAGGTCCAGATTTAGTACCGATGCATGTTGCAGAGACTCGGGCGTTCAACATGCCAAGCATGTGCATGGGGTTTAGGGTTTTGCACAGTCTGTCCCTGCAAAACATCCGCAGGATCGACGTGCAGCAACATCACGATGAGTTGCGCAAACAGGCGATCTCTTTGAACAACCTGCGCGTAGCTTAGCTACAAGCAAGACGATGATGAAATGCCTCTTCCCCTTGCGGACAATGCGAACCCTCTAATTGGGGTCATATACCCTGTGCGATTTTAATCCCTACTAGGGGATTCTGGAGCACAAACCCATTTAGGGTTCATTTAGTCCCCCAGGTCTTGGTAGTGGAACAAGCACGACCTTTCACAAGCACCACGTGCATACAATATTCCACCCCGCCGCTGCCCCGCCTTCCCAAACCCTAGACCCTGCTTGGAGGTTCATGGGTAGTTCTCACTGGGGGTAGAAGCATGGTAACTATACGTATAACCCGATGTAGGGTAGTTATCGCCCTACCTCTAACTACCTGCGAACCTCCAAGTAAACCCGAAATGGGCAGATCTGGGGCAGGTGCCTGAGCGTGTCCTCGAGCATGTAAACCACATGTGGGATATCGGCCCTCGCAGGCAAGGGACACTTGGAGATTCATGGGACTTAATAACCACTTATAACTGGGCTTATAACGCTACTTATAATTGGGATAACCCCTTAGAAGGCCCTTTAGGGTAGTATAAGTAGGGTTATAAGTGCAGTTAGAAGTGGTTAGTAAGTACCATGAACCTCCAAGCAAGGATCGGGCTTCAGATCCATGTCGGGAGGCGCGCCCTAGGTTGAAGTATTTTAGCAGCCCAGTACACCATATTACAACGGTGGGTACCTTTTTTTTGGTTGGTTGCTCGATAGGCTTTACAAGGGAACCCAGAACCAAAGAAAGGAAAAGGGCACCACTGGGCTACCAAGGTATGATTACACAAGCCCTACTCACTAAATTGGGCTGAACGTATTGTGTATTTGTATGGCACGTACGGTGTAGACTTGTAGGCATGCCTGCTTCGGGATCCGCTTTTTTGAGACTTGCATTTTTGAGTGCGAACGACTGGGGGCAGCTGAGTGGAAGGTCTGGTGGTGTGGTGAGCCTGTCTGTCGTGCCTTGGTTCTGACCCCAAAGCGCCCTACACGCCTTAGATCCCTCTGTGTACAGCCCATGATGAGGGACTCTAGAAGGTGCCTGCCTAGTTTTCCGGTCTCCTACCAAGAGCCAGGAAGTGACTTTTTTGGGTCGCATCTGCATAGGCCTACTGAGTTCGGTTTCGGTTCAGGGCCGATCAAGTTCGACCATGCTCGGATCATCAACTAAACCCTAAACCCTAAACCCTAAACCCTAAACCCTAAACCCTGAACCCTGAACCCTGAACCCTGAACCCTGAACCCTGAACCCTGAACCCATATAAACCCTAAGCCGAGACCCTCGTCCCAACAGGTCTTGCTGCAACAGGCTTCATACGTCTGCCCCGGGCCTAAGCAAACGTAAACGGCAACCCTAAAACCCTAAACCCTGTTGAACTTGGAAGCTGCTTCGTGCCAACCCTCAACCCTAAACCCTTAACCCTAAACTCTTGAATGGCGGCTTAGGCTTTCGGGTTTAGGGTGTGGGCCCTCTTTCCCTAGGTCCTAAACCTGAAAAGGGTAGTAGAGGGATTATTTTTTTTTTGTGGGGGGGAGGGTTCTTAAGCAATTAGTAGTAAAGCCTAATTAAACCCGAAGCCCTACCGTTTAGATCGGCCTAAAGGCTTTACAAGCCCAACCCCAAATGAAACGGACCAAATGTGAGGACTGCCGGAAATAGGGATCACCGAACCGGGCCTCCTAGTAAACCCTACCCCCTGGTTCTCAGTAGGGAATCAGGGAAAGAGGGCGCTACATATATATATATATACCCTTTAAGGGATTTGATAGGAACCTCATTCCCTCATTCCCCACTAACAACCAGCCAGCCTATGTCCCTGCTGAACACTGAAGTCACTGGGACGTCCCTGATTGAGCTGCGGGCTCTGTAGCGTGAGTGCAGAAATCCCAGGTCCTCTCCAGCGAAGTGCTGGAAGGTGTGGCGGGATTCTGTGGGCTGCTAAGCCCTAAACCCGAAACCCTAAACCCTAAGCCCTAAACCCTAAACCCTAAACCCTAAACCCTGAACCCTGAACCCTGAACCCTGAACCCTAAACTAGGCCCTAAACCCTAACCCTAAACCCTAAACTCTCCAAACATCCAAACATCCTTGTACAGTACGGCGCTCTGGGCACTCGAACGGTTTGAGGCTTGATCGCGCAGGATGGTGAATCAGATAGCCCTAGACCACCAGACCCAAGAGCCCTAAACCCTAAACAGTTTTAGGGTTTGGGGTTTAGGGTTTAGGGTTTAAGTAACCTAGGAATAAAACGGGCTTTAGGGCTTGAGAAAGCAAGACTCCTGAACGATATCCCACCACAGCAAAAGAGACCAGCGTACACAACTACCTCCTGGACTAAAGCCCGAAAGCCAGCAACGCGCAATACCCACAATCTATCTACCACCCACTTGGCTCACTTGACTAAATCGGCTGACTTGTATTTGTGTTTGTGTTTCCTGAAGCTTTTCTTCCGAACCACGCAAAACCGCGAACACACGGGCTCTCAAAATACCAGCAGTTGAACGGCTTCACCCAAGCCCCCGGCCAAAGCTCTTCCCGATTTCCCTTGCCAGGACCTGCTTGGCTGGACTTGTGATGAAAGCCCTAAAGCCTATGCTTAACCAAGAAGCCCTAGGCAGCACGGAAGGAATATGGATTTAGGGTTTGGAGGGTTTGCATCCAGCCCCCTCCACTAAGGAATTTAGGGCTTGTAGAGCCGATTGTGAAGCAAGGTCTATTGGGGTATTGGTATGGGGCTCTCGGACAATGGACACAACAGCAGAGGTTTAGTGGGAAGGGGGGGGGGGGTTCTTTGATGTGGTTCAGGGTTTAGGGTGGAATCTCCAAGCCCGCACATCCACACCCTAAGCTCTCTCACAGCTTAGCCCATGGTCCGAATCTTGCAACCTCCACAGCCTCATCGTGGACTAACCATTCCTCAAAGCACCTCATGGCTCCGCGGTTTCGAGCAGGAGCTAACCAAACTTTTGAACGGAACCAAAAGACAACACAGGAGCCCACCCACGATAAGCTACCTCGGATAGGCCTTGTGGATTACATACCTTATGGGCCCGGAACCCTCGAAAACCGACAGCCTACCAAAAACGGTAAGCCTCAACTCCACAAATGCCGATATTTACTATATGATTAAGAAAACCCCAAAAAGAAATATAGTCTTCATACTGCCCTGATAAGGAAGAATATTCTGATTTTGTGGGCGGTTCTTAAGCAGGTAGTAGGGTTTAGGGTTTAGGGTTTAGGACTTGGAGAGCACCTGGCATAGGTGACCACAGGCGAGCGCCGCCAATGCCATTGTAAGGTCGAGCCTCGGAGGAAGCAGGGCCGTTACCTTGCGGACCCCCATGAAAGCCTAGAATTCTCAGGGTGGCTATCTTGAGGATTCTACTTTCGGTTTAGGGTTTAGGGTTTGGGGTGGTTGCCTGGTCCCTTAGTGTGGGCCTTTAAACGGGGGCCCCTTGTATAGACCGTATACACCCTATACAACCCAAGGGCGCATAATTACATCAGAACCCTTGAAAGAGGGAGGCACATCTGCCCTCAGCCCTGTGCCATTGTAGTCCCTACGAAGGTAACCCCTTCCAATTCGGGTCATATACCCTCGCCCTATGGACAATGAACACAATTTTGATGTTCATGTAGTCCCCAAGTTAGGGCGTGTTCAGGCCTTTGGGGATGTAAGTCTCTAGAACGACTCGCATGTGCTCCTAAGGAAGCAAAGGGCTTTGGTTTTGACACCCCCCACGGGGCAAAAGGCTTAGGGCCTAGGGCTTAGGGCTAGGGTTTGGGGTTTAGAGGGCAGTCCTATTTGGTCTCTTCCAAGCTCCAGGAAATTGAGGATTCCGGATATTCGACATTCACCCGCAATTAGCAGGGACGATGGTGCGATCTGGAGGACACACAGTCGCGAGAAACTAACGCAGGAATTGTTCTCCAACCCTCCTGGAACCCTAAACCCAAAACCCGCCCTAAACCCTAAACCCTAAACCCTTTTGAGCAACGGACTTTGAGGCTGCCGGCACACACCCCTAAACCC